GCCAAGAGTAAAAATTTGAAGGTAGGTGACAGAGTTTATTTGAATCAACCTGCGATAAATCCTACAGAGAAGCAAAAATCTAGAAAATTCCAGCAGAAATATACAGGACCATACAGGATAATCGAGAAAACAGGGAACGTTACATACAAGATACAGGAAATAGGTGGAAGAAAGGTGCAAAATGTGCATGCGAATCGACTAAAATTGCTCAAGGGAGTGGAAATCAGCGAACACGAGCAGGAAGAAAATCAAACCGAAAAAGAGATTTTGCCACAATTGGGAAATCCAGAGGAAAATTTCGAAGATGAAAACCCATACGTCCGAGAACGCGAATTTCGGGACGATTCTTCTAATGAGGTTCATTCAGAAAACGAGAGTGACCCTGAAACAGATGACAGTGACCCTGAAACCGATCAAACTGAAAGTGTCGAGTTAGAACCTTCCGATAGCGACGCCAATGAAGATACCGAGAATGAACCAGAAGAAAATTTTGAAATTGAAATAGGTAATGAAAATAATCCAAACCATAGTTATAAAACTCGGTCACGAGGTGATGTACCAGAACAAGATTGGGTTTTACGGCGGGCTATATAATAAATAAAAACAATAAATATCCAGCACACATAGAAGCCGCGAGTAGGACTGATAACACATATAGGTCATTATTTTAAGTAGGTAATCTAAAAAATGATAATAAATTCTAGACAGATTTTATTAATGAAGGCACAGGCACTAGTTTCGGAATTCGACGAAATTGGTTATCAAAATCAAGGGACCGGAAAAGGAAAGAAGGCCATAAGAGCAATATACATTTCTCACACCGAAACGGACACTGTTTGATGTACGAAAGGTACTTCAGTAAAATGGTAAATGATTGCGAAAATTCGAATAGAAAATTGAGTCAGGTATAGGATACCTTATGAAGGATTTCAAGGAAAAATGAATTGGAATAATTTTCACGAAATACTGATATTAAAAAATGCTGATAAGGTTATGATTACTAGAAAAATGTTTGAATATGAATCAAAAGGAATATTTCATTGAGATTTTTGACGAAAATTGCAATTGTGAGAAAGTTGAGAATGATATGTATTAGTTTAGGAAGGATTTGGTGATGGATTTCAGATATGTATATGAGGATGAAATAGGAATATAAGTTTATATCAGAGGTTGACTTGACATTGAGACTGAAAGTTACAACAGAATTTGAGACGAAGGTGCGATAATAGACATTCTTTTATTGACCAAAATGTGACTACAATGTAACCACAATCTTAAGACATTAGGAGTGAAGCACAAGTGATGTTGCTGTTGACTGTCATAGCCATTTGACAGTCCATTACCTGCGGGTTCGCCCGCCCACGAGACGTCCTCTAGAAGCCAGAGCTATACCCAAGGTATCGCCCGATACTACTACCTGTGCTACCACCTATCAATATAGGGATATGGTGCTGTTTCATTAGAAACGTATATGGTATTCCAATGCTCATGGATAGGAATGCGAGTGCAACCATTGCATTCCTGAGGCCATGCCTCCTCTGCCGCTCCGAAGCCCACTCAACAGGTGCTATTGGCACCTTACCAAGGTGGCACGCACGCTACTGACGATGCTACCTCCACCCCTGGACACAGTGCTCGCAGCGAGAGCAAATCAATGAGATTAGAACAAGCGTTTTCTCGAACGCCTACCTGGAGAGGTCTTCCCCTTGCCTGGAGTCAGACGAGGGACCGAATCAGCCCACAGACCTAGTTTGAGCTGCTGCGTTGGACGCAGATGGAGCTCACAAGTTTCCGTGGAAACTTAAATGGACAACGACAGATCTGGTTATTGTTGAAGATCAGCCAACAGATATTCTATAATTGTTTCTTGTATAGTTTTAAGAATGCTATTTTAGGTAACTATGTAATATGAGTAGGATACTTAGAGTTTTGAGATTGTTTCGTTGAGAGTTTATAATTAGAGTTACCATGTGAGGACTGAAATCGAAATATATGATATATTTCGATTTCAAATAGGGGATGGACGGATGTTATGCCCCGCGAAATACTACCTAAGGAAAATATTGAAATATTGAAAATGGAATTCATACCCGTTAAGTAAACATCGTTTGTCGGCAAATTTAGGATACTTAATATTCATTTTAATGACTCTAGATCAACCTTGAAATTGGTATCTCCAAGAATGCGCTAATTGAGACCGACAAACGAATATGATGTGATTTATTGTTATTGTCATATGAATCTATGAAATCACTTCCATGAGTAAACTGGAACCGAAAAACAAGAATGACGTAAATTGCTTCGTTGTTTTCGCCTATAAAAACACTCCATTGTAAAAAATTGAATTCAATTGATCATTAACTCTCGAGACGTCAACTAGTAAAGATGTAGCTCCAATAGAATCAGAATAGATCGCGAAGTGCATAGAAGTACCTATCTATAGTGGTTATTAGAATCAGTGCAAGTGAGAAAGAGATTATGGCAATTCTTTCAACTCCCAAGCAAGTTGGTATGTCTTTGTGGTTACATTTAACAGACTTTAGAACTGAAAGTGCTTTTGACATTTAACATAACTTTCTAACGATAATATAATGGGCAGTTTGAAGAAACTATAGTCAGTCAACCTATTAGTGTCAAGGGTTAGGATGTTGTTTAATGAATTAGACGTATAAGGGTTTTGCAAACTAACTTGATGAGAACTATTGAAATAAGGGATGATTAGAGAAGTCTTAGATATTAGTATATGGGCTTAGAGTAGAAGTAGGGTTGAGTTTTGATATAGATAGTTTAACTGAGTGTATTCTTCCAAGAGGTTTATAAAGGGAAGTTTATTTGTTGTTTTAAAGAATATTAACGTTGAGTTGAGAGTTTTCATTGTAGGAAAACCTAGGGTGAATAAATACTGGTTCATGATTATTGATTGTATATTGAATATTTTTGATTTGACGAATTTATAGAGTGATTATACTATTTGAGTTTCTAGATATTTTCTTAAATTTGAGATATAAGTGAGTTTGAGTTTTCTGAATATTTGAATTTGTTAGGATTCTGATCATGAATGTAGTCTATTTCTTTGATTATAGTTTATTATCTTTGTATTTGTTTTTCTCCTGCATTCTGCCACCATCATAGTCCGAACCCACACAATTTAATATCTGCTGTAGATTCCACACCCTGTATAAACATACCAGCCGCTCGGTATATAATCTGACAACATCTCCCTTATACAGGGGTGGATCAACACAACAGGGACCTACGCTTATAGTGGATTCAGAACCACTCCTAGTGCGCCGCATACAGAAATCAGAAAGAACACTTCTAGAAAAGTGAATTGTGGACTACCCATTTCCCGAATTACTTTCCAGATCATTCTACACTCACCGGCAAAAAAAAAACCGGCCACCAAATAATTCAGCTAAATATTGTTTGCTCTGTAACTTTTTCAATAATTCTGGTCCGATTTTGGTGAAATCCCGACCAACTTCTAGATTCACGTTTCCAAATTTTAGCCTGAATATTAGTTCCTAAGAAAATCTGATGACTCGATCATAATACAGGGAAAACGAAAGTTACTTTTTCACCCTTAACTTCTTAACGCCCTGTGGGAAAGGTGAGCGGTTTAACTTAGCTTCATTATGTTTAAGATTGAAGAGTGATCTCTTCTCTACATGATGGTTTTTTAATCACGTCGATAACCACTTTTGAAAGGTAGATACAAGTGTTTCATGAGAGTATGAATTTTAAAAATTTTAATTTACAATAATTCAGATCCATTCTCCAACCTTCTGCTTCATCATGTTTTAAATTGAAGTGTGATCCTCTTTTGTTCCTTCTTCATACAACGGTTCTTGAATGACGTCAATATCTCCTTTTTGAGAGAAGATACAAGTGTTTCAAGAAAGTATATTCTTTTTTAATTTTCAATAACAATAATTCAGAATCTATCTACCTATCTTAGGAGTGACCTCTAGAGGCTCATTCGCCTTCGCCCAGCCTTGTCAGATACTCTTCAAGAGTCACGATTCGCCCTTCAAGGAGGATTTCGGGCAATTCCTCAAGGCAACTTGAGTAATTCGATCAATTCGACTGCGGTTGAATGCTGCAATTCAATATCGAGGAGAGCATACTCGTTATTAACTACAGGTCTGCTTCTTGTTTGTTTGTTGTAATTGATTATCCACTAAGTGCTAAAAAAGTGAGGTGGAAATATGTGATATTAATCCTTGAAGTTGATAATCAATAAGTTCATGTGAGTTCTGATTATTGGTGAAAAAAGTTGAAAAACATCATACTTCCTTAAAACACTCGTATCTTCTTTCAAAAATAAGATATTGACGTGAATCAAAAACTTTTGTGTCAAGAACAGATCATACTTCAATCCGAAGCATAAATAATTCATGTTCAATCACGCAATTTTGCCACTGGGCGTTGAGAAGTATATGGTGAAAGAGTAACTTTGGGTTTTCCCTGTATAATGATCAAGTCAGCTTTCCAGGAGAACTACTATTTAGACTAACTTGAATCTACGATTTGATTCGAATTTCACAAAAATCCAATAAGGATTAAAAAAGTTATAGTGTGAACAATTTGGGCAAATTTTTTGAATGGGTTAATTTTGCCGGTGAGTGTATATTCCATGTAAGCCAACGAAAAAAAAATCAACTCTGTCACTTGTCTAACTATGGTGACATTCTGATCTGTCTTTTCGATAATATGAAACCTGATCGATCCACAGAAACTATATCATTCATAACATAACGTATAGTTTGTTGAGATAATCGTTATATATAGCAGAAATAGCTTCTGATGATATGTAATTAGTCTCACTTCGAATTTTTTTTTCGAATAATTGGCGGTTATCCGAATGTATATGAATAAATAATAGGTTCTGGTGAACAAATAAAACACTTTGATTTATTGTAATCAAAATTATAATGAAATAACATAGCTGTTCACATCTACATCTCCTATAGGATTATAGCATTCCATTTTCATTTCAGATTTTCCCCGTGTCGAAGTAGGCCCAGAAAACCCCCTAAGAGTCGAACGCGATTCCCAAGCCACCCTCCGCTGTTCCGTCGACGCCAAACCCAAAGTCACAACCATCCGCTGGACCAGAAACAGCAGATTCATAAGCTCCGCCTACAACCACACCATCCACCGTGTAAGCATCCAGGACGCCGGCAAATACACCTGCATCGCAGACAACGGCCTAGGCAAAGTAGGCGAGAAAGAGATCAACTTAGATGTTCTGTACGCCCCTATAGTCACCATCGGGCCTAAAACCAAAGAAGCCGAGGAAGGCGAGTCAGTCTACATCAAATGCAACGTAACCGCAAACCCCAGCCCTGTCACAGTCGAATGGGTAAAAGATGGACGCCCAGAGTTCAAACAGACCGGAGACACTCTTCGTCTAAGCTCCGTCACTGCCGATAACTCAGGCACCTACATTTGTCGTGCTGTCAACGTCATCAGTCCCAGCAACGCTCCAGTGCGACTAACGGAGAAAATAGGCAACTCCTCGGTGGCTCTGCTTGTCCGCCACAAGCCAGGGCAAGCTAGGATCATGCCCGACAAGCCAATAGCCACTGAGGGATCGGCGGTGACCTTGACTTGCACGGCTACGCCACCAGGCTGGCCTGCCCCGCAGTATCGCTGGCTGAAAATCGGATCCGACGGGCAATCGACTATCTTAGCTACCGGGACCAAATATACCATAGCCAACGCGAATCTGAGGACCGAGGGGGTTTATAACTGCCAAGCGACTAACGAGCTGGGTCCGGGCGATATGGCTTCAGTGGAGCTAGAAGTCCACCAGCCGCCTAGCTTCAAGTACAAGCTGAAGCCCTTAGAAACCAGGCAAGTAGGGGACCCGAACTTCACAGTGGCCTGCAGCGCTAAGGGCAAACCCCGGCCTATGGTCAGGTGGCTCAAGGACGGTGAGGAGCTGACTGCTGACGTCAACATGTACGAGGTGAAAACTGATTATTCGGAGAGTAGTAATGGAGCGGTGAGTGTCGAGAGCGTGCTGAAGTTTGCAGGGAAAGCCAGGCCGAGCGGAAACGAGTTGCTACCCTCGGATAGGGGGGTGTACGCCTGTACTTTCGAGAACGAAGTTAAGAAGTCGGAGTCGACGATGCATCTGAAAATTGAACGTGAGTATGAATATTAATTCGGGGTGGGTAGGGCTTTGTTCTATTTATAATGCGGAGTTCGTTTGCGTGATGTTCGGAACAATATGGAGGATCTTCTTCATGAGGAGTATAGAGATCAACCGCATTTGTATTCTGAGAGATTTTCGTGTTTATTATCACTAGTTTCAGAACGTTCTATTTATCCTGATTTCTAAGGATCAATTGAATTATCTCTCCAACAATACAGTATCTAATGATATTGTAGGAAGAAGTACAGTTCTGGTTGACCGCTGATGACCTGTTCCAGGAGGTTACTGGAATAAATAATTCTCCAATTATTTTCTTCCTATGATTTCGAATTAATCAGAACATTCAATTAAACAAACTACTATGTATAATTTCGAATATACGTGGACATACATAAAGTAACACCACCAGTCTGATATTTAGAATTATTTCCATTTAGATAGTAACCAATTCATATTGTTACATACAAACAAACGCGTCGTTAAATTTGGAACTTCAAATATTCAGCAGTAAGTGCTTCAAAATATTCGGGTTATACATTGATAACTTTTTGTTGCATAATTACAAGGAGTGTCAGCTTGACAGTTGGTGCCGTAGGATTATTCTGTTGAACTGATTCAATTTGTAGTTTGAGGTGTATAACCTTGAATAGTTTAAAGTTCGAACTGTTTTCGATGTGATTATTTTTTGAGTAGTTCTGAACGAACGTCAACATTTTATACGACGCACTTTGTTAGTATGTAACAATATGAATTGGTTACTATGAAATTGATTCTAAATTCCTGATTGACGGAGTTCCTCTATGTATATCCACGTATATATATCGAAATTATACAAGGAAGCTCAACTCAATTGAACGTTCTGATTGGTTTAAAATCATAAGAAGGAAATAATCAAGGTTATACATATCTCAAACTTCCTGCACAGTCACAAAACTTGTCAGTTCAACGATGCGTTCGGCATCTGCTTAGTTTAGTGAACAGTGAGTGGGTGAAGAATTGGAGATAGTTCAAACAATTCAAACTAATTATGACGAGCAAATCAATTGACATATAAAAGAACAGCTACAACATGTTCACACTACCCAGATTGTCCTGCTTTGCAGGAATAAATACAAATCCATTGTTCTACAGGAGTTCCTCTGGACCCCGACTTCAATTTCACTTCATGTGGGGAAGATTTCATCGCCGAAGTTTGTAGACAAAGTGCAAAAATGTGCCGTTTTTTGAAGTCTTCTGCCTCACACAAAATCACATGATTAGCACGGAGAACTGCTTCTCCTTTCACTACTGGTCGGCTTTTTCCATCTAAATAGAGCAGAATATCTTGCAAAAGAACATCAACAACAGGCATTATTAGCGTTTTCGATCGAATATCGACAATTAATGTCAAGAAATTTGAAAACTTATCACTCTTATCAGTACACATTATACAAGCTATAATGGTACTAATGGGATTGGGTTAGGATTGAGTTTGTTTTCGACCAGTTTTGACGTGGCTTGACATGGAATGATGAAAACCAAGCGCCACCTGGTAACATTGATTCTCGCGAATATCTCATGCATTTAATAACTTTCGCATTCGTGCGTAATATGCTCCTTACAACACATATTACGTAATATACTATTGTTCGTCTGAGCCTTATTTTTTTTTCAAGACGCAAGGATCTTCGTATGAGAGGATTATAAACTGAAATCTCCGTTTTCAGATGAACCAATCGTTTTACACCACTTCAACAAAGTCGCATACGATATCTCCGAAAGAGCGGAGGTGCTATGCAGAGTCCAGGCGTACCCGAAACCAGAATTCAAATGGTTCTTCGGCACCAACATCAACCCCCTACACTCCTCCACTGAGGGCCACTACGTAGTAAACACCTCCAACGAAGAAAACGACGTTTACACCAGCGTGCTCAAGATCTCGAACGTGGGAAGACAAGACTACGGAGACTACACTTGTCAGATTGTCAACAACTTGGGGACTATCGATACCAAGATCAGGCTGCAGTCCAAAGGGCCTCCGGAGAACCCTTCTAAGCTGGTGGCTCTCCACAACGGACCTAGCTTCGTGACCTTGGGCTGGGAAGCGGGGTTCAACGGTGGCATCTCGAATACGAAGTACTTCGTGTCTTACAAGAAGATCATCAGTGAGAATGATATTATAGTAGAAGGGTGTGGAGCTCTGTCGAGGTCTAGCGAGTGGAATGAGGTAGACTGTGATCAGAATGTGCCGTGTAATGTGACGGGATTGGAGCAACATCAGAGCTACTTGTTCAAGGTATGATTTGGAAGAAGAGAGTTAATTCAAAAATACGTTATATAAGCCACAGTTAGTGATTCAATCGGAAATTTCATGGAAATATCAGTAAATATTGAGACATGGACCATCACTTTTCAAACAATCAAGTATGATCACAATAATTATAAAGAAATTCATGATTTTATTACCAACATCAGGATACTTTTTCTTTCCTCTCATCTATTATACATTAATTTCAGGTGATGATTCCTTGTGATATTTTAAGAAAAGAAGTTCATATAAACGTATGTCCTAACTTGATCCGTTTCCGAGTAAAGGGGTGTCCAAAAATTAATGAAAATTCGGTTTTTTATTGATTAATCAAAATTCTCTTGTTATATATAGATACTGCTAACATACCTACAATCATCAAAATCGGCGTTAAGAATTTTGAGTTATTAATAATAATATATAGATGTTTTTTATAGAAGGGAAGAAAGTAGTCGATTTCAGCTCCAGGTTTTGTTGTCTTCCTACGCGTAGCGTAAATAGAAAAATATCCACCTGAAAAAATATTATCTAGGAAAAATGGATTGGTATAGCAAAACAACGTTCCTCGAGTCAGCTAGTATTTGTGTATAATCCTTGATATTCCTTTCTTCCAGGTGAAAGCCATCAACACCAAGGGCACCAGCGACAATTCGCAGGAAATCAGGGCCCGAACCCGCGTCGACCGTATCCCTCTGCCTCAGCGAGTCGCTTACGATCGCACATCGCACGCTATTTCCATCAACGTGCCTGCCACGTGTCTGCCTCTCGTCGCTATAGTCGAGATGGTGAGCAACGAGAACCACCCTGTAACGGCGTGGCAGGTGGTGGACACCCTCAGGCTACAGGTATGCTGATTCATCGAAATAATAACTTGAGAGAGCGCGTTTCGTAAATTTCACGACAAACACGCCTGATAAATTCCCCTACTTTTATCAGTCAGAAAATCGAGCTTCATCAGTGTCTCTTTAAACTATAGACGTATCGGTGTCGGAGATTTGGGAATTCAATATGGCGAACTAGTTTTTTGATGATGATCCGATTATGTTTAAAACTGGTCTCTGTAGCTTTGCACACAAGTGTTTGTTATCTCACAAGGGATTTTCCTGCTGGAGGAGCTACCAGAAATACTTTTGAAAATCCAACTGTACTTCGCGGAGTGGCCGGAGTTGGAAGTGTCCTTCTGGAAGGACGTGTTGAAGAATCATTCGAAACAAGTGAACTACTTCGTTTGAAAGTCTGGAAGAACATTTTCTCCTTCATATAATCATCCACCACTGTACAGGCTGGTGAAAATTAGAGCAGAATGGAAGATATCCTATGGTTATACTGGGTTCTTATGAGTGATTGCACTGTCATTTTTTCGAGCCACCCTGTCGATCTCAAGTAGGTACTTCTCTGAGTTGTTGTGTAGTTTTCGAATTCTTTTCTATTCTGATGTATTGTATGGATATCATGTTACAGGGAGAAATGAGATTGCATCAGGAGAGAGTTGGGATTTTCATGTTCACCTGGCTTTCCAGGGTATCATAAGCATAAGCGTTCCTATCACTAGAAGATTCTGGTCAATTTTAGTTGTATTCTCATCAATGTTCCACTTGCCTGTGACGGTATTGCTGTTTTTTTTATAAATTCAACAATCCATCAACACCCAGCAGACTGGCACTGGTAACCGAAGGAAAACAAAAAAAAACTCCACGAATCGTGAGTTTTCGTGACAACTGTGGTGGCCATAAGCACCGAAACGTGGTTTCCTACAAGGATCATTTCCCCTACTAAATATCACCCTTCAATATGGCATATCTTGCAACTGGGTGCCATTACAATTTTGAATAAAATATGTGTTGAAAGCTATAATGATCTGCACTATATTCGAGACGTATGAAAAGTCTTGCTGGACTACTACTTTGAGCCGGAGAAATTGACAGATGATAACCAATGCTACTGCAAGATATGCAATCGATTGAACGTCAGAGAACACATAACCAACATTATGGAGGCGTCGCCACGATTTATTTTAACTCTGAAGCTCTTCCGGTTCGATCCTTCCTCGCACCAGAGTATCAAGATGCAACATTCCGTATGTCTTGACGAGCATCTTATTATTGACAGCTGGATTCACCAGCTTTACGCGGTTGTAATCCACTGTAATCAAGTGCGTCGATAGCGGTCACTATTACACCATCTCCAAAGACAAGAATGACTGGTACCAGTTCAATGATGGCTCCTTATCAAGAACTTCGTCTGAGGAGCTAATCCGACTAAGATCCTCCGAAGCGGCATACATCATCCTCTTTTTATAGCCGTGATGATGAAGTGGCAGAGCCTTTCTCCTACCTTATTCCCTCTCTCTTAGACTACAGATTATTTTGGATCTGGACCATCTTGATTTCAACGACTTCCAGCAATAACGGCAGCATTTTTTTGATATGTTTCATCTTTATATTGATTCTTGCAAACATTACTTCTTTATTTTTTCTACAATAAATAAAAATCGAGTCGTCCTCAGATAGGTTTATTCTTACTTGATAGCAGAACGCTGTACAAATATTCTATATCATCCTATTTTGGTCAAGACTGCCAGGTTTCTTGGTTCTAATTGATGATAGAGCCTTGCAGTAGCATCAATATTTGTTTGCTTAGTATATTTTTGGAGTTACGACATAAACTTATATTTTTTTAAATTTAACTATCACAAATTCGGTTCGGTGGTCAAGAGCATGAAGGCGCTGAGTTCGTATGGGGACTCCCACCGAGACATAGGTTCGAATCCTAGTTAGGCCATGGATGTAAACCTAACCCCGCACAAGTTTTGACTTATGGGGCGTTTGGTCCCAGTGCTGGGACCAAAGAGTTAATACAATTGCAAAAAAAAATAAAACATTTTTTTTTCATATTTCCTGCAGGTGTCTGGGCTGATGCCGACCAGACAGGAAAAGGGCTTGGAACAGATGGGCGGACGGGCTTTCAAGGGCAGGGCGTTGGTTGACGAGCCGATAGGGGTGAACGACGAGGACAGCCCGAGGATAAGGGTGAAGTTGTGCCTCCAGACGCACCCGGATCATTGCGGGGAGTTCGTCGAAGCCGAATGTAAGTATCGGAACAGATAGTGATGACGATTATTTCTGTTTCTTTGCTAAATTTTGTCGTGGTCAAAGATCAAACTTTTGTGTGTGAATCTATAACCTTATACTTACACAAATTTAGTTATTATAATCGACTCATCTGTAGAAATAGTAAAGCCACTCAATAAAGGGGTTGTAGAGTATGAGGAGTTTGGGCACTGAACCGACTAAAAGACCTTTTCAATGCCACCCTCGGGAGGATTTTCAGTATGGTCACTCACCAGCCAACCATCAAGCGACATCAACATCAGTCTGGTGTATAAACCTTACATAAATAAAATATCTCGTTGACACATCTAATCGACGTAGATTCGATATCAAAGTCACGCGGTTACATCACAATCATGAAAATATGTGATGTGACGTTAACTGAATCATTTGCATTGATATCCTAATAAGACATATTTGTGACCTGTGAGTGTGACGCAGACATGCGCAGAACGAATGCACACACCATACGCCATGTAAAGCTGTGGCCATGTCATGTGTATCACACCCTCATTCGTTGATTCTTCGATTTCGTAGTCCGACAGTCCGACTCAGCACAGCAGACTATATTTTCGACTAAATTTGCTGTTGAAAAATATGAGAAACTATAGCACATATCAACTTCAAATTATACAATTATTTACGAACTATGGTGAGCACATTATCACAATCACAATATTGTAATTATTTCTTATCAATAATTATAGTCAATGGAAATATCATCTGACACCTCTGTCCTCTGAGCTAGGAATATCTCAACCTCGAGCAAGATGAATAAAATATCCTAAGGACCCAACCCACTAACCAAAGATGGGAGCTATGTTGATGCAATGTTGAAGCAATTATTGAAACGGACGTTCAGCAATATTCCAAAAGTGAAGTTTCATAATGTAGCGTTGGAGCAATATTACATGTTACTGTGACATTGCTGGAACGTTACATTTATAAACGTCACCCTTGCAATATTGCTGAACGTCCGTTTCAGTAATTACTACAACCTTGCATCAACATAGCTTCCACATTTGTCTAGAGGAAAGTAATTAGTGTATTTGATATGAATCATCATGTATGATGTATTGCTATGTGTTATGTTTTACTTCGAGATTACTAATAAGGTTGATTGTCATAATAAGTTTAAAATGATTTGTTTTTACTCTCGGAAAATAAATATATTTTCTCCGTATAGTTGAATTATTAGAATTATCAATTCCACAAATATCATATGTACCGACCACTAATCGATATCGCAGTGTGACGTTTTTGTAATTTCATGTCAGAACGACGTCACAGTTATGTTCCTTGAGTCGCACATATTCACATTGCCACGTTGTATCGGTAACATGTTTGTGACTTCGAATGCGATATCGAATGTCACACAGTGATGTCGCGTGTAGGTACATCATTTATACATTTCATGGTTGGATGGGTCTCCACATCCCGAACAAGTTTCCGGAGAAATATTGCTCATTCATAAACATATCTGCTTTGATGATTTCATCAACTTTGTGATCTCAATAATATCCTGAAACTAATAATGTTTTGATATTTTATGTCCAGTACCAGTACCTACTACCATTGATTTACTAACACTTATTTCTCAATTTCTGAGAGGAATGTCATCATCAACAGATCCTGAAAGAACTTATCTAAGACAATTACGGTGCTAAATCCACGCCTGATAATGTTCTTAGAGGTCGTGAAAAGTATAGAACATCATCCCCAGGCGTTTGGCTACATAATGATGATGATCTCAGGCGATTGTATGCTATCTGGGTATTGATTGGACGATTAAAAATACTATCGATACAAACATAAGTTGTAAAGAAAAAGTAAAAATTTGCTACCGCTGAGTGCAATCCATTAGTTGACCTTACATTATATTTTATTCTATGTTTGTTCATGCATCCCTACTTTAAACAGTTATGTTCCTTGGGGCAATGAAGACCATCAATCAATTAATCATAATTTTTGTTTTCAGTGGACTTCACCCACATTCGCGAGGCCTCTGCTCTAGCTACCCCTACCCTCATCGCCATTGTGGTCTCCTGCATAGTTTTTCTGCTGTTCGTCGGCCTCCTCCTCGTCTTCTGCAAATGCAAGAGGAACCAGTCCAAAAAAGCCCAAGCCAAGGACTATGACATGGACTCGGTCCGATCGACGGTCGTGCCTCCCCAGCAGAGCCAGGCTCCCCCGCCCTACTACCCCTCCAAGGTATGTACCCACTATGCAAAAACTCGTACTACTACTGTTAATAAATGGTATTCAAGGTACATGGTTACGCTATGATTCTTGTCCCATTCACGTCTCAAAGACCGTTTTAGAGTCGTTATATGTCCACCAACGTAACAAAATCTCAGTAACGTTAAATATGATTCCAATCTGATATGTAAACTGGAACGACTTTGTTAGAGCAAAAGTACTTTCCATTACGGTAATAATTCATGAAGCATCTAAAAAAATTTCCAATATGTGTGTGAAATTAATAAAAAAACGATTTTTTCTGAAAACTTTTCGACACTGAAAATGCCTATCCTGTATAATATTGGTTCATCAGAAACCTAACGGTTTCACATGAAAATGTATGCATGGTTTAGAGGTGGTCTGGCCAAACTTGTCAACAGGACGTCCCTGCAACGTCTTGAAACTGACGTCTTATTTTACCATCTATGTGACGTTCACTCGACGTCGAGATGATGACGTGATTATCACGTCATAGAAAGTACGTCATAGTGACGTTATAAATTGGTATGTGGCGTCTCTGAAGAAAAATCACCTATAAATGACGCCACAGTGACGTGATTATACGTCATCTGGTTGCCTGGGTATAATTGTGTGTCCCCAAAAGGTCTTCACAGAAACTCACCACATATGTCGCAGACCAAAACAATTCTCAAGGGAATGATATTATACCAAATTGGGATAGATGGCGCTTGTAGTTTTGTCAAAAATAGGCCATTCCATGTCCAGGAGGACTATTATTCTTGCACAATGAAGCAAAGTATTGATTGATTGATTGATTTATTCATTGAAGGGCATGGAGAACAAGGCGCTGGAGCACTCGCTGGATTTGGCGTTGGCCATGGAAGAGCAGAAGTCTGTGTACGCTACCCAGAAGGGGTACGGGTATCATGTGGCTAACAACGATATGCAAAGCAGACAGAATATCAATAATACTGATTGTGAGTATATTTGTTATTATAGAGAAACTATGTTTTGATTACAATTACATTGAAAGTGACTTTTTGATGTCACGTAAGAGACAGAGAAAGGTCAAGGCAAAAAAATGTATTGCTATGCTACGTCTTTACTATAAAACGCCAGCCGCAGCATTGAATCTTTTGCTTTTCTGCCTAGCAAAACGAATAACTATTGTCATTAAAGTGCAAAAGAACAGAGTTAGCTGTTTACTTTTTTGGGCAAATTCCAAATCGCTTTTATTATTTTTCTTCAATGTATTTGCAGCATCTCAAACCTGATTATTTCTTTTTCAAGATCTTTCGCTCGAATCATTTGAATTTTTTTACAGTTGAGATACACTAGGTGTTTGAAAAGAGCTAACAGCTTCCTCATTCTACAAGATTCTTTAATTTTTCTTGATAATTCATAATCTCCAAGTCAATATCTGGAGATGGCCCTGTTTCAGTGAAACATTCTATTCTATCACCTTGAAGAACGTACTCAAACTTAGTTCACTGTCACAAATCGTTTTTTCCTCAGAGCTGTGTACAGCTTTATAATAATTATTGAAATAATTCAGATTCTACTAACGTTATCATCCTCTATTTTTTATCAAAATATGAAATGAATTTTTAATGACACTAAGTTTGGTATACATTACCAGATGCACATTTAACATAATTTTCTATATCATACTTTTGTTTGCTTTTCGTTGGCAGCAGTTACTGTCACGTTTAGTGTCATTTGTCCAATGTATTGTCATTAGTCAAAGTCAATTTTTATTGGTTCGAGAAAGAAAAGGCCCAAGAAGTTCTTCTTGTTTTTCTTTCCAATGATTAACAATTCAACAGTTTTGTTCTTATAGAAATAGAATAGTTCCTGTAGTTGCGCCGATTTCATCCAACCTTACAATATGTGCTGTCTAACTTTCGGAAATATGGTCAATTAGCATCTAGTTCATCACTCATAATAAAAACATACTAATCTTTGGATATTCGTAGTATTTGCTAGACTTTTGACCAATCGATAACAAACAAATCGCAAAATGAATACAAAAACTTGATATTCTAGTTAGGTCGATTAAAGAGGGAACAAGTGGTCACTTCTGGACGTTCTGGATCATTTAAGAGGTTGAAAATTGGGAATAGACAGATTTTTCAAACAGGTGTAAAAACTTGAAAGTTCTCCAAATTCGGAATACTCACTATGAGGACTCCGAATCTAAACACATTTGTGTTTCTAATCTAACGGATGACAAAGGTTTCGATTTTTCCGCAAATTCTCAAAAATTTCTGTCTCTTGTCCAACGGATAACGAAGTTACTGTTTTTTTTACAAATTTTCAAAAATTGCTGAATTCTTAGTTGAGTTGAGTTCATAAATTCGCCATTAGACTTCATCATTCGAATGAAAAAATGTTCCGATTGATTGTATTTTGATTTCTCTAGGGGCCAACATCGGATACCTCGAAAACAGTTACTCCAACTCCAACAACGGCGGCAGCGTCAACTCCCAGGACTCCCTCTGGCAAATGAAGATGCAAGCGGCCACCTCCAACTCCACCAACCAACTCCCGCCCCACCTCAACGACCGACCCAACTACGGGTACGACCCCATAGCGCACGGCGGCTACGGGGCCGACCCCATGACCCACGGGGGCTATGGGGCCGCGGACGACTACGCCGCGTACCCGCACGTGACCACGCAAAGCAACCACGGGGACGAGTATATGCGGGGTAGCAACAATCCGTCCAGGCAGGATTACTGCAGCGATCCGTATGCTGCGGTACACAAGCCGAAGAAGCGCATCGAACAACATATTGGTGAGTTCAATACACTGAACTAGATATAAACATCAGTGCTGCTTCAATTGTCAGCAGGATCCTGACAACTATTTCGGCACAATAGGGCTCATCAGTTGCTCTCGGTCTGCTGACAAACTCAACGCTTCGGGCATACAAATTTATCTTCTGAAATAACAACAAATTCTCAGTCTATGGAGGACTGTTCCAGTGTTCTTTCTATGTTTCTGATGCCGCCAAGTATTTCAGAAGTTGAAGAAATAAATGATGACTTAGATGTACGAAAATCTTGTGGATTCTACGGAATATCTGCTTAAATTGTGAAAGTGATCAAAGTAGAATTAGCTGCGATTTCATTGTATATTGTTACTAGATCTTTCAAAACTGGAATTGTACCAGATAAAATGAAAATTGCTAGTCATACCGATACATTAATCTCAAAAATTATTGAAAAACTGCTGAATAAGCGCGCATTTTTGATTTTCTTGAATATAATGGTCTGTTATACAGTGGTCAATATGGATTTCGCCGATCGAAAGACACTGAGGTAGCAGTTATGGGTGTAATTTCGGATATTCAGTTTAAAATTGATCAAAATTATTAATGTGGTCTGGATACTGCATGATGATCTAGTCATGCTATCGCCATCTAGTTTCTGTAATGAATAAGAGTTGTGTCAACGGCAAATAATTTCAAATTCCCTTGTAATTTCAAACTTGAGATAGAATTTATATAAATCAGAAATAAGGGGGCACACCACAAGATATGTTTCTTATTGAAGAAAATGAATCTTCCATATACACAAACTACTTTCTATCAACTAGACAATTTTCGAACCAAGAGTAAACTTCACCTCTTTTTCCTATTCGAGTTAATTTCTTTAATAGAATTTCAAAATTGACTGTATCGAATGCCTTTCGCAAATCCAGTGATAAGAGTCCACATTCGTAGTCTGAATCTAATTTCAGCTTAATGTCAGTAATAACATCCAGTGGTGCACATTCAGTATCACAGGATTTCCGAAAGCCATATTGACCATCAAAGAGAAATTCAATTTTTGTTAAATAACCAGAAAACTTGTTATGCATACGTCTTTCAATAATTTTGGATAATGTTGGCGGCGAAGAAATGGGTCTATGATTATTCATTGAATAATTTTTTCCATTTCTGTACATTGTAACACTTTTGCACTTTTACAGTTTTTCAGAATCGACCCAGTTTCAAATGTTGAATTTATCAGGTCACTTAGTAATGGCACCAATTCTGATTTAACTGCTTTGACTATTATATGAACATTAATGCCATCAAAGCCTGGTGCTTTCTTATTATTTCATTAGAGAATCATGTTTGCATTGTTCCACTCTTCGTTTCAGATTCACCCTATCATGACGTCAGTGGCCTGCCGGATCCCTACTTGGAGCAGATGGAAGACGAGAAACCCCCTCAACACATGTCTCTGAGCTACGAAGACAGCTTGGAGAGCGGCTATTCCACGCCTAATTCCAGGACAAGGAGGGTGATCCGAGAAATAATCGTGTAAAACCGTCGTTCCACTTGTCATCTGTAATACCCATATCCCGGAATTTAGCAAACAAAGTGAGCTGTTCGTTGACTTATCTTTTTGAGAATGTTATCTTCTTGTGTACCTGACGACGTCCAACTTTATGAAGTGTTGCTGTGCCCCTACATGAATATGAATGTAATTTTTTCTGTGTTCTGAACTACTTGAAACTTGATATTCGCCGAGATTCAAACGTTTCCTATATTCGGTGAAGCACTATTGATTGCGCAAAGGTTTTCTGCTTTGAAAAGGACAATTATTGGACTATTATGTTTATGAGACTAGTCTATTCTTGATGCTCAAACTGGATATATATTCTAAAATGAGAGACAAGTGAATACCGATTGTGTGTTGATTTGTGATTATCCGTACGAAATAAAATACTGGAGACTGGAAGTAGTTCGGGCAATATTTGAACTTTTGCGTAACATGGCACAAAACTTATCTATTCAATATTTGATAAAGGTGCAAGGTGATCCCTATATGCGTGACAAATCACGAATCGATTTTTTTAAATGGAACATGATGATCACAAAACTATATTTACAGTGTGATATCTCCGATTTTCACTTCATTATCTTCACGTTTTTGACCCCAGAAAAATATTTTTTTCTGATTAATTAGTGATTACTCAATCAGTTCGGAAATTTACTGGATACTAATGCCATATACATGTGTCAAATATATCCTTATTCATGGTTAACTCGATATCTATAGCGGTTAACACAAAAAAATGTTTTTCTGGGGTCAAAAATGTGGAGATGATGAAGTGAGAATAGGAGATATCATACTGTAAGTATATATACTATCGTGATCACAAAAGATCACAGATTCCGAAAACTCATGAGTATGATGGGTGTTTGAAATAATCAATTTGTGGTTTTTCACGCTTTCAGGAATCCTCCTTTGAAACTTCTGATAAAGGCTATGGAAAGGCCTGACTGATTGCGGAACCATGTACAGTGTTTACATAAAGTGCTGAATAAATTCATTTTTTGGAAAACTATCCAAAACTTACAAAGCAGGTCGAATTTTATTTTAAATTCGCCGCATTCATAAGTAAAAATCAGATATAGAGGGTGATCCATGTTTGAGCTATGATGCCCGCTGCATTATTTTTCGAATGAAACACCCTATATATGATTCAATTTTTGTAATCTCCATGGAAAGCTGAATCTTAAAATGTATCACACATAACGTTTGTATGAAGAACATTCGTTAAATCAAGTGCTATCGTAAAGTTGTGGATAGATTCGTTGAAAAATATAGGAATCATTTCTTGAAAGAACTTTCTTTTGAATTCAATTGATACAAACAGAATGATTCTACAAGAGCACTGAATATAACATAGCCTATGTGTGATATGATTTGGAAACCAGCTTCACATAGAGATTTCAAAAATTATTATAATATACCTATGCTTTGAAAAACGTGAATCGGACGCCATGATTCCCCTATAAAGTGTCAAATTAAAAATAAAAATTCCTCCTGCTTCAGAAAATCTTCCCGAAATGGATAGTATACATGACAATGAATTGAGCCACTACTTTACGAGAGGATTGAATCTACTAAAGGCGCTGTATACAAACCACATGTGTATTTTATTTTTTAATTCAGTTTTGCATGGTGATTCCGAAAATTGACCAATATGTAGGGTTTTCTTGTGGTCGTCATAACTCAAACGTTGATCACCGTGTATCTTTTATTTTTCCTCATTCATGTGGCGAATTGAAAACAAAATTTGACCTGTTCCAGAAGATTCCTCAGGGATGGATAATTTGGTTCGATTTGGTTGGTAAATTAATTTATTCAGTATTTCACTTAAGCACTGTATGTGGAAACATTTGACAAAAGAAGTAGAAATTCAGTTTCGAGTAGTACAGTTATCTTAGTTATTTTCATATTCATATCCAGGAGGTACTATGGTAGTAATTTTGTAATTGAACATCCCAACACTTTCAATGGAGCAGGTTTTCGATTATTTTAATGAAAGTGCCAATACTGGGATTACTGATTCACAATGGACTGAGTAAAATCGTAAGTTTCTTTTTAATATTCTGTAATACTTCAATCTAGAATATCAGTAGGAGATGCGTGCGATACTCCACCCCCCACTCCCTCAATTCTTTGAGCATCACACAAGTCACATGACCATATCGGTGACATTGAAATAAATACAAACATAATTCAAACCCTGAGAAAGTTCAACATATACTATCGAATGGCACCAATAAAAAAATAGGGATCAGAATATAATTTTGGGTATAACCCCTTTCACCATCCAAAGTTCTACAATATAGCAATTCTGACGTCACCTCTATATAAATTTCGGTACGAATGACACATTCACGCGGGGTTCAATCATTCAAATTGCCTTGATAATTTTTTCGTTTTTTATTCAATTTTCAAGAAGAAATTCCTCGTTAATTCTAATAATTAGCGAAAACCCGATATCATGGAAATATTCGTAAGACTGTGTTACATTGGTGTGCTGAATATATGTGAGTACTCATTTCAAGAACACCTCGTATGGTATTTGTAAATGACATGCTTATACATGCTCGTGAACTGAATCCATACCTATATTTTGTGAGTATGCAACTGGGGTGTTATTCAAAACTCAGGGGAGTGGGGGGTGGCTCATGGTCCGCATCTCCTACTACTATTCTGTTGAGATGAAAATATATATTTCTGTGAAATATTTCACTGCCGAATTGAAGAATGTCTTCAATTCGGATGATCAGATGTTGAGAATCCATAGAATATCACTGAAGATAACTACTGGTGTTGAAACTGATAGTTGTGGTGTTCTGTGAGATTTGTTGTTTTCGTATTATCATCGACGTTAGTGTAAAGTTTTTCACCACCATCAACAACATCGCAGCCAGTGCTGTCAATCGAGTTTTTATTATTATCGAAAACATTTCTTTGGCACTGATAATTCGATTTATCTAACTCAACATGAATCCTTCTTATACTAACAGGGTAATACTACACGTATTTTCCACAGTTTTGAAAGTATTAATATATGCAACCGTCTGAAATTTTTTGTATGCCATTACTGAGTGACTTAACATTGCCATTCAGCCAAAGGTGTGGCTGAACATAACAAGATGAACAATTTTAATGAAATGTGATTTAAATTGCAATAAGTGTTTTTTGTGCTCCACAGAGTTGTTACACTCAATGTGCTCAATGCGGGTATCTCTGGAAAGGTTGAAGTGTATATCATGGAAATTTTTTATTTTTTATATAAATATAAAAATAATTTAGTACCGATCAGGTTTTACTGCAATCGAATTATTTCCAGAAGCAGATTAGTATATCAGGGAGCAGTGTTTTGAATGACAATTTTTTTGTCGTAAATTTTGCATAACAACTACCTACAGTATATTCTCAATGTATATAGCCTACTCCATCATTTTGATTTTTGATTTCTCCTGAAGTGTGTGCAATTTCTATTTGTGATAGTTTTTTATTCTTATAATATGACTTACTTCTGATTATAGAAAATTTTTGTATTCTTCTTGATTTCTCGGGATTTTGTGAATTCTCAAGTACGTGAAGTCAATCCCTAACTCGTTTTCTCAAGTTATTTAATTTTGAATCTACATAAATATATCAAACGAAGTGAGCTTTGTGCATTTTATTATGATAAATAGGGAAAAACATTATGAATGTAATCAAATAACTATGTTATATTGAAAATATAATGTAGTTTCGAGTGAAAAAATTATAGTAATATTCAAAAATCTAAAGGAGTTTAGAAAGGCAACAATAAAGGAGATTAAAATAATTTTGTTTTTTCCAAATTCAATCGATTGTCACTTAGATGATTTTACCAGTTTTGGGCATGATGAGTGAGACACCCTGTGCATATGTTTATTTCAATTATGTTCTATATTGTGTTATTTTCAAAATTTATTGTTGAACAGAATTTCTCGTATGGATTGGTGGTTTTGCCATTTTATTGTTGTAATTCGATGTGCCAAATGAAAGTAACACAATATATTAGTTTTTTATCCTAATTAATTATTTTTAAGTGGTAACTGTACTTAATCGTAACTCAAATTTGAGCATATAATTTTCTGAATGTATTCAATATTCCGATATATTTTGATATGATCTCATAAAAGATGATGCATTTGCTTGTTCATAAAATTCATCATTCTGAATCATAACGACACTTTTTGTTATAGAAATATATAATTTGATCTATTTTTGGAGATGACCAATAGCCCAAAACTTGTTATGATTCATAATAGAATCTAACTTTTTGAACGAACAAAATATTTATAATTTATTACTCATTTGAACAAAATGCACAAATTTTATTTATATCAACAAATCTTGAATGTGTAAATGTTTTTGTAAATATGATATGAAAAAGACTATCATTTTGTAAATGTAAGTTCTAGGTTAAGAAAGAAAATATTCATTGTATTTTTAATTTGTAAATATATATAAATGCACGTTTTATTTGTATTCTGAATTTTTGTAAATAAATGTCAATAAAATTTGTACACGATAGTTTTCTTATAAATATTGGTGTGAGAATGAACCAGCTTCGAATTTGATTATTCCAAATCTTAGATATGAAAATAGGAGGATTATAAGAAGTAAATTCGTTAAACCATAAAGTGTCCTAACCCAATAAAAAAAGATACACACTGCAAATTGATAAATGATATAAAGTGAAAGCTTTGACTCGAGCATAACAAATTAACTTGAAACTTTCTCCCTACTAGTAATAAATTAACATCATTTAGTTAGAATGTAAATGAGATAAGTAGAAATTATTTGATTATCTACTTATCACTGAGAATTATTGGTCTTGACAATGAAGTGACGATACCCACATAAATATCTAGATCATTATCATCGATTATTTGGACTTCGTTTATTTGCTAATCATTGATGAAGATGAAAGAGGTATACCTATAATGCTATTTATTTTGCCATTCAATCGAGTGTTAGTTCAACTCCATATATCTTGAGAAAATTTGATGGATTTCATGGAATAGGTATTGGAATATACCGGGTAATTCGAATTCGAGGGCAACCATTGAGATCTCGGATCTCATTTAGGAGATAGACATATACCGTCGAGAAAAAATCATGAATTCCGAGTATTTCCGGAGATATAGGGTAAAAACTAAAATTTCGTAAAATCAGTTTTATATTATTTCTCTGGCGTTATTCGTTGAATAATATCGAAATTGATAGCACCCTTACATGGCAACTTTTTCCATGCTATACGATGCCATTTTCAGATTTACCATCCGACGTGTCTTCACGCCACCATCATCAACTTCATTTTCTTCATGGGCGCCATATTGAATTTCCATCGATGATGAAAGCATTTTTTCCTGATTTCAACGATGTATAACACGTTATACTTTGCAACATCACAACTTTTCGAATATTTGAAAAAAATATTGTTTTTGTAATTGGCCTCTTGACTCAGAATAACCAATTTGTTGATGTTACATCATCATTTGTCACATCTGCTGTCACTCTCTCAGAGTAATAATAAACGTAATTTGATTTGTTCGAACGAAGAAGAAAAAGATATGATGAAACCATTTTTAATGAACTTGTCAGTATCTGCTCAGTGTTTCTGCTACGTGTGAATACAAAGACGTGCTCTTCGTTCTGAATTGTTTACAGCCATTTTTCTTATAGACCGACATTCTTCAATTATGCTATCATTCGAGTCAAGGCCAACTAAAAATAGTTATTTATTATACAAGGGAAAAAAGTAATAGATTTTAGCTCCAGGTTGTGTCCAGACAAAAAACCGTGAGCCAAAATCTAATATTTTTCCCGTGTATAATACACTATTTTTTTCTGTGACAGAAGAAAGGACGAATCAATATTGAGAAGATGATACATTATTTTGAAATCTGAAAATTATCGACGTGAAATTTTGAGTGTTTAACAGTAGGGACACCTGCGTTGTAGGCATCTTTATCATTCTCTTGAAGTGATCAAATATTTGTTGTCACTTCTGTCAGTCTAATTCTATGATTTGATTTCAAAAAATTTCGAATTTAGTAGTTGTTTAGTAATATACGTAACCGCGCCGAAGTCGAATGGAGGGTGCGCAAACAATCAAGGGGGTGATTCTACATAATGAAATAAGAAATTCATTCCATATGAACCTAGGTCCGGAAATGCATAGTTTTCAACATACAGTGTGTTGAAACTTTTAAAAAAGATCGTTTTTTTATGAATATCTCAAATGTCTTTCCACCGATTTTCTTGAAATATGGCCATAATATTTTTAGTCATGAGGGGCTGATATACCCATAATTCAATTGGAATCTTGGAATCCAGTGGCGTCCCGATGGGCAACCTACCGAATATTATTGTCAATAAAATGTGCGTCACTGATTTTTTTTTAAATCTGTATCTTCATAACCTATTGACCAACTAAAAATACAACATTTTGGTCTCTTGAATTGTTTTGCTATTTTGCTGCTTCTTGGTGAAAAAAAAAATCCAATTGCCACATACTATACCAATTCCCCATTTAACAGAATCGAATAAATTAAGCATATTCCTCTCAGCCACATCTCGTCTCAGCCACATTTCGTCTCAGCCACATTTCGTCTCAGCCACATTTCGTCTCAGCCACATTTCGTCTCAGCCACATTTCGTCTCAGCCACATTTCGTGTCCATTTCGTCTTAGCCACATTTCGTCTCGGCCACATTTCGTCCCGGTCACTTTTCGTCTCAGCCACATATAAGGGTGAAATTGTACTCATCATGCGATGGGCTTTTTTCGAAAATTTTTTTGGTACTCACGTATTTTTCTGGTAAACACGAATTTGATGATGAAAATGTGAACAAACCACTATTAATCGAGATATTTCAAGAAAAAGTTCGAAATTCTGCCTTCTTTTTCCCCCCTCTCTTGAATGCTACTTGCTCTTATTATTTTGTCATTGGACACTTTATATACTAGTGATGTACTTCAATGACATATTCGTTTTTAGAAAATTCAACCCGAAAAATGATTTTGTTGGCGAGTTTTCCATATTTAGTGAACAATCATACCAGATGACGGCCATATTGAACAAAATCAATTCAAATACGAGATGTCAAATGTCAACAGATTGCTTTTGAATGACGTTACACACACCATTATTTCAAATGATATTCTTCCTTCTTTTCACTAAATATGGATAAATCGCAAGAAAATGTGGCTAAGACCAAATGGACACGAAATGTGGCTGAGATAAGATATGGCTAAGACGAAATGTGGCTGGAACGAGATGAATCTGCATTGTGTATTCCTGCTGAATTGGGAGAATCGGTTTGTATCTAGCAACAGCGCGCATCGTTCGGGGGTATATTCGGACACTGTGGCTAAGAAGAAATGTGGCTGAAACGATACGCACTCTAATTTCCTACTCGTGTCATTGCAGCATTCGCCTATGGCTCATGCTGCAAACATCATTCCCGTAGGAAATCACTATCATTTCGTGCTCGTTAAACAATATACTATTTCACACTAGTGCAGAACAGAGTATTTGTTATGTTTCTGGGTAGTATATACTGACATTTGAATATTGGATAATAATGAATATTTCTTTATGTTAACTTTTCGGTATTTCCGCACGCAAGTAAACAAAAATTGAGTACCTAACACGTGCGTAAAGCGGCTTTTCCGGACTTGTAAGATAAACAACTATTTTCTGCCCGTAATGCCTTGAAGTACGTTTTCGATAGGCCAACCTGTATTCAGGCGCGTGCCTGAGGGGGGGGTAATGGGGTAATTACCCCCCCCATGACCACGATGATGATGAAAAAATTTGAACATTCCTTATTTTCAAACTTAAAAAATGATGATGATGAAGACACAACGATGGGCTTTCACACCTGTCTTCTAGTCTTCAGGCTTCTAGTCACAACATTAAATTATAAATTTCGCAATCAGGGTGGCGCATTATGGAGTTGAGTGTTGAGTGAACTGGGTTTTTATTTGTTATTGTTCGCCGACACAACGACGGCCGAATTCACGAAGCAGGTGCTTATGTAAATACATTATATACTTGAAATGAAATAGTCGGGAATACGCCGAAATAAGTTCGTCGTTCATTGTGTTTTGTTGGCTATGCTAGGGTGCATCATTTTTATCTATTCTTATATGGAATAAAATTTATGAGTGTTATCGTTGTTTAGAACAAGAAGGTGAGATTTTTAACTTTGTAGGTTTGTAGCATTGGGCGCGACATACCGGAACCGAATAATGATTTTAGTAGTGAGTACTGAGTAGGTATAATCACTTACTGTTTTAACTAAGTATTTTCAGGATTTCGACACTTTGGTGTACCTGTTGTTATTGTCGATATTCGAAAATGAAGAGGTCCCAAAACACGTTAGATAACTTCATAGTTGTAAAAAAGCAAAAGGAGGAAGAAAAAGAAATTAAAAACGATAACGAAAAGGAATCAGAGGGCGTGGATTATATCAATGATATGATATATTTTTTTAAGAATTAAATATGAATGCCTTAGTGTTACTGAAGTTTAACTTTTTAAAACGTAGGAAATATTGGTCCTGAAATGGGTGATTACCCCCCCCATGAAATTACCCTAGGCACGCGCCTGCCTGTATTATTTTTTGTTGTGTGTAGTTCCATATTACCAGGACAATTATAACAATAACACAACTCTCAACATACTTTTTATATCGGAACCCATTACAAAAACATCAGCTGGAAGTGATAATCCTTATCTGAATTTAAAATGAGTTCATCACTGACAGAAGAATGCTCATTGATAAAAATGAACTTGTGACCTTATGAATAAACAACAAATAATCACTATCGGTCTTGGCAATCCCACTTGGCCTGATTATCTGTCACAACTCATAAATAATGAAAAAAATACTGTTGTCCTGTCAGGTCCTTGCAGCAGTGCTGCCAAGAATTTCAGGATAATCGATCCTGTCGCGCATACTCCCTACCATTTCTACTTCTTCTGTGAGTTCTACATGCATGGTTCTACCTTATTTACGTGAAAAATGTGAGCAAATACCTGGGGCTCCTTGCAAAAAACCACAAGCGTTAAGCGTGAAAAAATGTTTACAACAAACAAACTGGATTTCCAATAATTCGCAATGTTGTGCAGCAGATCGTAACGAAGACAGTGATTATTATTTGCTGATTATGTGGTGTTGTTGTTGAGAGTTAATTTGTTGATATTAGCAATGGGAACCAGTGAATCAAAACAAGTGAAAGCCAAAGGCAAAACGAAAGCCAAACTGGGAGGCAAGAAAAAAGGTAGAATTGAAGATATCTTCACAAGTGTAGTGCCAAATGAAGAAGAGGAACAGCCCCAGCCAGAACCAATCACTCCGCCTGCTCAAAAAACAGCTGACTCTTGCACTCACATCGAGGAGAATCTAAAGTTGAACAACCGCATAAGTGAAATAAGCGAAGGAGATTCTAAAAAATGCGTAACATCACCTTCAAGCTCGGAATCCTACTTCACCGATGTTCAAACTCCTTCCGGAACGCAAATTCAAGCTTCAGAGCACCAAGAAGCTGAAGCTCCGAGCTCCACCAATGGAACCTTCCTCCATAACCTCACCTTGAACAGCTTCAAGCTTAACGAGTACAGGGCGAGGCATGAAGAGGTGAAGGTGCGGAAGCTGAGCAAGCTTGAGGTCTCCAAGACCAGTCAGATAAGCTTAGACAGCAATCCAGAAGTGTGTTTTGCCAGTGACAATGTCGAAATTGTCAGTCAAATGCACGATGACAGCGGTTTTGGGGAATCCTCTTTGGATGGGGAGGAAGCTGTTAGGTTGAGGCCCAAAGAATTGGTAGATGAGGAGAGCAAAGTGGCGCTTATGGTGAAGAGAATGTCAGATGTCAACTTGAGTAATGGTAAGGAATTAAGATCATTTTGCACCTATATCTTCGTGATTCGTATCATTTGTACTCACCTAAGCTTTTCCAAGAATATGGTGATAATAATAATACAAACAGACCATTATTTTGTTTATGGGGAAACTAGTAAAAGGTCTTCTAATATTTACCTTCATATTATGAATATATTATGTTGTGTATGGTTGTATCATGATTCACTTCACTATGGAAGCACCCTCGTATCTTCAGTGATTATTGAGGTAGGATTATAATATAATATATGTATGTATGATCGTGAGGGATACATAAGATATTCGAAGACTATACATACACTGCTTGTCAGTAGCCATGAAATTACCGACATTCACTGAAAATTATACAGGGTGTTGCGGAATTTAGTAACAAGATTTCAAGGGCTCATTTCTCGAATTAAAATGAGACTTTTTTCTCCAAATATGTCTCCGCAAACAGTTCGTTACCGATGTACAGAGCGTTGAAATTCCAAGATTTGTTTTCCTTTTTTCGTTATAGCTCTTGCAGTTTTCGAGATATTCCTTCACAGTTCAAATTTGGATTATAGGTTGAGATTGAGGGTTCGCATTATACAGTATGCCGAGTGATTGTTAGAACGTACAGGGAGTTATTTTTTCAAGGGCCAAGTTCTTTGTCGCTCTATAAACTTATTTCTGCTATGTTTCGGAATGATTTTATATATATTTATATAAATTTTCCTAAAATTTGGCCCCTTCTAATTTCCATGCATCTTCGAAAATTATCGAGAAAAAAAACCTGATTATGTATCAAATGATCTAATATATTAAATTCTCCTGTCAATGAAAACATAAAATGAATAAAATTTGTCGGGAAGAATTTTTTTGCGGAATTTGATTATTTCTTTTGTGTATTCTATTAGTGTTCACTAATTTTGTCCAAGAATATTATTTAAGAGAAAAATATTGATAACAGTAACATATTTTAGATAGGATTCGCTCATTTATGTCGAAAACGGTTCGTTTTCCGGAAAAATTGAGATGCAGAAAAATCCTCAGAATTGAACGATCCAATTTATTTGGAAACTGGAATATCAAAGGCGTACTACGAAAAAGTTTCGGAGGATAAAGAAGACTATATCTCAAAAAACGTATCACCCTGTAGACTTGAACAATCTCTCAAGTGCCCAAAATGGTGAATTTCTAGAAAGTATTCACCACAACAAATGTCATATTCATATCTGAAGAAGTGAGCGGGATATTTTTATCATTAGAAAAAATAATCAAACTACTGATGGAGATCGGATGTTAAAATAACTTTTTTCAATTGATATGATGGGATCTATCACACATTTCAGTTTGCACCTCAAAACTTGAATCACCCTGAATATATTTGTTTTTAATTTTAATTTGAATCAGCCATGTATGTTATGTGTAATTAAAATTTACATCAACAGGCAGGAATCTATCAATTATCACAATGTAACAACACATGTTTGGTTGTGATCTCAATTACAAGTTTCCCAACATTACCTGTTGCACAATCCTTGGTGAATAATAAAGATGAAGTACAGTTTATACATAAATCTGGTGTTTATAAAATTAGATATTCAGTTGATACTTATTGTTAGGCTCAATAGATAGGTCAAAGTGGTAGTAGAATTCAAATTAGGGTAACAGAACATGTGAAACTTATTGAAAAATCTAGAAACTAACTCTTAGACGATTATAACACTGAGAGTTCCTTAGCTAACAATATCTAAAATGTTGACTAGTCTTTCAATATGATTTGGAAGTATTACCATTCTGTCGAAAACGAAGATTATTGAACTTATTAGAAATTTGTGAAATACATGCTTCTTCACAACTCGTTACAAAAAACGATGTCCTTTTTCTTAATGAACAAATTCATTTTGATAGTATATAATTGTCCAATTCATTGAATTTTCAATGATTTTCATTAATACATTTTCTCAATTACTTGGTCCCAACGATCCTGTCATCGTCTGTTAGGTAATGTGATTTCCGTCCTCCGATACTTGCTGATTGCTGGTCAAGTGGTCAACATGACAGTCATAAATTTTTCAATTATTATCCAGAAATAATTCTTTATAATAATGTTTCAATAATGTAATACTTTTTTCTACTATTTTTCAATGTAACTGCAGATATTTTCTCACCTCCATGTAAACGATCGTATATGGTAACAATTCCACTGTATACTAATTTTTGGCTATTGAATTTTTTTATAAGGCCGATGATGTGACATTGTGAACTGTGGTAGAGATGATTTCGAATTTTATTTAGTTATTACAACTTATACTCTACTTTGAGTAATGTTGGACTCCGACCAGAGATTATTACCTGATGAATAAGAAACTTAATAAAGAAACTTTTCACAAAAAATACTATAAACAAAAAATACTTGAACATTCAATGCTCTGTAGATTGGTAACGAGGCATTTGCGGACATATTAAAATGAGAAAAAGTCTAATTTTGACCTGAAAATAAGTCCCTGAAATCTGGTTATAGAAGTTTGAAACACCCTATATATATAAAAAGAGGAGAAATAGATTGAAAACCTATGATTGAATTAGAAATCAGGATACCAAATTTACTACAGATTAATCTTTTTATTGAGAAATTCCTGACAATTTTGAACTTATTTTGCGTCTTTAAATCATTTTCCGTGAATGTCGGATATTCTATGGCTGCTGGCGAGCAGTGTTTACCACACTGAAAGTGACACACCTTGGTCAATGCGTATTATTAGTACAGGGTGATTCACCATGAATGTCTCCCCCTCTAGCTCACTTATTTTTGAACCGATTTCAAAATTTCAAAAATAATCTGAAATGATTTTTCAGAATTTTTTTCCCGTTGCATCAGAAAATACAGGGTGCTCGGAACAAATGATCTACAGAGAACTACTTGATTGCATGACCCTGTATTTCATTGTATTTTTAGATTCTTCCTGAAGAGCTGATTTCATCAATGTATCACACTTGGGGTCTAGCCGGAATGATTACAGAGATATAGGGTGTTCAAAATCGAGATTTTTCAAGTATAGGATTTTTTTGTCTCGAAACTATTCATTATTGGTCGAAACGGCTTCTATGTTTCCATCTCAACTTTTGATTTACTGTTTACTGACATTTAATTGGAACATTTACAGGGTGGTTCAAGATTCAGAATCCTGATCACCCTGTATCTGTTCCAATTATTAAATGTCAGTAGATAGTAAATCGAAAGTTAAGATATGGACATGGAAGCCGTTTTGACCTATGATGAACAGTTTCAGTTCAAAAAAATCCTAAATTTGAAAAATCTCGATTTAGAACACCCTATATCTCTGTAATCATTCCCGCTAGACCCCAAGTGTGATATATTGACCAAATCAGCTCTTCAGGGAGAATCTAAAAATAGAATGAAAAATAGGGTGTTCCATATAAAAAAATCAAATAGTACTCTGTAGATCGTTTGTTCCGAACCCCCTGTATTTTCTGATGTAGCGGAAAAAAACTTTATCGAAAATCATTCAAGATGATATTTCAAATTTTGAAATCGGTTTGAAAATAACTGAGCTAGAGGGGGGGACATTTATGGTGAATCACCCTGTACCTATATGTCTCACTTTTGGTGAATTTAAGAATCCTACTTCAGTAATTATTAGGTATACGCAAAATTTACGGAGATAATTTCATGAGAAGTATGACACACTGTATATGCATGAATATTTTGTGTAATCATACGATTGTATATGTGTATTGTGTAGGTATTAAGAATGTCGTTATTTTTCCAGTTTTACGATTTTCGAAAATGATAGTATGTATCGCTAACCAATATTTCCCGAGATACCAATGTGCTAAAAAAGTCAACTTCTCACTATAATAATCTCTTCAATCAAATCAACGGTTAGTAGTTGGTGTATTTTACAATATTTAATTATTTTCGTGGTGTTTATGTTGAAACTTGATATTGAAAACGCCCGTTGGTATATTATTTACTTATTCTGGTTTCAATCGAGAGAGATCGAATTAGTGAAGTGATGCCTCCTAATGAAATAAAAACGAAAATAGCACTCACTGTACAACAAAAAACCAACGTTCTTATGGTTTCTTCATAGAAATCAATAACCATGAATGATTTTTCAGGAAAAAAAGGTTAGTCATATACAGGATGTATGGAAAATAATCGCATAGGTAAAGGTAAAGTTTAACATACGAATATATAAATGTGGTATCTTTTTCAGGCATTCCTGAGTACAAAAGGCAAATGTCAGCTCCATTAGACATGACGATAGATATACAGGATGGCTCGGTCCTGAAAAAGGTGGCTTCTCTCACACTTAGCAGAACTGATATCGATTCAAAAATTTACAAACCAAAATTCGTCCCTGAAAAGTTGGATTTCCAGTTGTATGAAAAATTTGAAGGTGAGTTAAGTACCAAAATGATATTTCATAGCACTCTACTTAACGATAAGGTGTCATACAATTAGCTTGAAATACCTGCTTTGGTAGTCGAGTTTACGACCACAAATAAGGAAAAAATGTGTGGACAATTGAACTCATGTATGAAAAATCCCACAAGCCGCGTGATTGTGTCATCATGACATCGAAAATAGTTTGCCCTGACTTTTCCAGCCACAATAACGTAATATAACCACAATATAACTCTTGAAAGCATGACAACCAGCAATAAACAAATGTTTTATGAATTAAATTGTCTTAGCGAACGAATTACACCCTTTTTTTTCTAGTCGAAGTAAACTTGGCAATTATGATTCGAATTTCCATGCCATTAGGTGATTCAACTCGAAAAACTGCCAGAAAAAATTACTCGGCCTACAGACTCGTAATTTTTTCAGAGGCAGTTTTTTTCGTCAAATTGACAGGTAGCAAAATTCTTACTGATATATGTCAAGTTTACTTCGACAAAAAAAAGCTCTCGTGTAATTATTAGTGATAAAAAATGTACGTAACAAGTCCAGTCTTCTTCGGAGGAGTAGACAAAATGATGAGACGAGTCCTAGAAGTCTACCAGTCCAAGAAAACTGTGTACGGACGTGTTGTGTTCACTATTTTGTCAGAAACAAATAGATGAGAAACATTTCTTTATTATATTTCTTCGTAGATCAAACCTTAGAATTATCATTAGTTTTGTTTGAATATTGAGAGACAATTATTGAGCTGCTGCATTGGAACTCGTAAGGTACATTTCAAAACTAACTATCGCTGCTGCTTTCCATAGTTTATTGCGATAATTGCGATCAAAAACCATATGCAAACTTTCAGAAATAAAATTGTCAACTAATTTCATGTCAAATAGCTCTCAGCCCTTATTTCGCTACTATAGTGAATACCAAAGAAGGGAATAAGATTTGTATTTCGTGCAAAATAATTTATTCAATATTCATAGCAGAGCGCTTTCGACTGTAAAGTCATCATCAGTGCGTACTCGTCAGGTTAACAGGAAAATCTGTCCATAAAAATATCTTTGGTCCAGAGTAAAACTAACGACATTGAGTTAAAATACATCACAAACAAATTAAAATGTGATTCCCAAAAGGGGGTAAAATATGGATTACATTTTGTTTAGCAGCCATTGTCGCTGCGACATGTCGTGTTGAAGTGAACTTGATGAGTCAACACAACTACTTAACAAAATGTTATCCATATTTTACCCCCTTTTGGGAATCACATTTTAATTTGTTTATAATGTTTTTAACTCAATGTCGTTAGTTTTAAACTGAACCAAAGATATTTTCATGGACGGATTTTCCTGTTAACCTGACGAGTACGCACTGATGATGACTTTACAGTCGAAATAAGCGCTCTGCTATGAATATTGAATAAATTATTTTGCACGAAATACAAATCTTCCCTTCTTTGGTATATATTCACGTGCACACAGCCCAGCAACCCTCACTCACTATAGTGAATGACCAATAACTGAATTTATCAAAACCATACCTACCAATATTTTCATATTGACAATGACAACAACGATGTGGCCTAGTCAGTCCGGGAAGTGATCAGTTCCTGGACGATTTTTCTTTGAAAAAGTAACATTTCACTGGCCTAGTTCCGGAAGTTCTGTGGTTGACTAATCTCTGCTTCGGACTAGGCCGAGAAGCATCGCATCGTTGTTGTCACTGTAACTATAACAATCTTGGTAGATATGGTTTTGATAAAGGCAGATGATCATTATTATAGCAGCGCAATAACAGCTGACAGCTATTTCACATGGAATCAGTTGACATTTTGATTTTTGAAAGTTTGGTTGCAATTATCGCAATGAGTTGAGTTATGAGATCTTGTTCATTTTATATACACACCTAATTGATAACATGAAATGGGTTCATCATTTCTATAGATTTGATTGCGAATTTGATCCTCCCAATAAAGATAAGTATCTGATAACAGAGATATATAGAAAGAGAGATCATGAATGTAAGGGAATTACCAATTTTTTTTTGCAAAAATAAATGCGCACCAGACTTCTAGCACGTAGTACATTGCAGGCATTTTTGTTCGTTCCAAAGTTTAAGAGTCTGCGACTTAAGCTGTCACTCATCATCATGATTGTGTATTGATCCACTCGATAGCTGCATGAAATCGTAAAATTTGCAATATCTATTGTACCTATGTCTAGAAATGGTGTTGTCAGTAGTCACATTTCGGTAACAGTTACTTGAATAGCTCAAGAAACAAAAAAATATTGTGAACCTACTGATCAAAATGATAATTTGCAAGACGGTGTCGTCTAGGAAGCGGAAGCGGATTCATAGAAAGGAAGACATACAATATTGTAAGTTTTATTTTCTTGTTTGAGACATAGATTAACGACTCCCCTTTGAGACGATGTCATTATCCAAGATTTTTTTCTACCACTATCTCCAGAATACATCAATATGAATGCCTATCTCCGATCTTTACTACCTACTAGTCAATCATGAAATGTACTTTGCTTATAGTTGAGGATGAAAAAACAATTGACATCATCCATCTTTTCCGAAATGCTTTCTGTACAGGGTGTCTCTTCATATTCTGAACACCTAACTACAGCTTCAACTTTACTAGAGTCACTGGATGGTATTAGATAAGAGTTCGTACACAGAAGTCACAACTGTTTTTGAATGTTTAGATTTATTGTGACAACAGCATCATCATAGTCGTTCCGCGCTTTTGCATTCAAAATTGCATGACCTATTGAGAAAAAAGCATAAATGAAAATGTCCTGCTGTGTAATGAATTGCGGGAATTCTGAAGAGAATGGCGATTTCATTTCTTCAATTTTCCGAATGAAATATCAACCATTCCCTTATAGAACCAATGTATGAAACGGCCTGGATGGAAAACTAATATTTGAGGTAAGTACATCCATTAAAATTGATTTCTTATAATAGCAGATTGAAATGAAACTATATTTTTTAGGCCCATTTTCAAACAGAAGATTTATATGATCCGTTGTTCCATTGATCTACAAAACAGACTATTGAAAAAAAAACAATATTATCATGAGATGAAATGCAAAGCAAAATTATCAACGTAATGAAATTGAAAATCTGACGTTTTCAATACCGACCAAATTCAAAATTTATCATGGAGGTGGAAAATCAAAACAATTTTCATGTTTCAAACTTTAACACTTGGGTACAGTTTTACATACAATAAGGAACTAGCTTTTTTCCATGTGTGTATCATATTGAAATGTTGTTATACATGAACTATTTCCATTTTTATTACTATTGTACTGCGAAAAGTGTATCGCTATTTAAATAGAAGTGTGTGTTTATACCCTATTTCTATTTTTTATCTACGACAATGATCGATTTGACAGAAAATCTAACCTCTAAAAGCGTATCTGCCAATGAGGCGCCACTAGGGAAATTGAAAAGACAAAGAGCAGAATATATTATGTCTTATTCTTTTTTTCACTCAAACCATTGTAATAAAGAAAATCGAAAAGGACAGAAGTTCAGCTGTGTCCGAACTCTTATCTAACTAATATTATCCAGTGACTCTAAACTATAAAAGGTGGCAAAACTTCAGATATGAAAGTTGTAGGTTCTCATCTGTATTATCTTTTGGCACTCTATCAGGCAGCAATCGATCATCCCCCTCGGGTTAATGGCACTTGGGTGAATGGTACCCTCTGGGCGTTAGGATCGGTATAATAAAGCACTCGGTACATCAATAACTATTACGGTACTTTCGTATCAATATAGACAGGCAATGAAATCTGTGTGTTAATTGTGCGTATTTCAGATCGATATACGCTCAAAATATCAAATTGCTCCAGTCTATGCGATATTTATAATTTTCTCACAATATTTGGCGACTGCTTTCATAAAAATGCTCATATCTATTCAACTGCTAGATCTCATAACTAAGAGATCCAGGATGAACAGATTTGCCCCAATTGTCAGCATTGGATTATCCTGGATCTCTTAGTTATGAGATCTAGCAGTTGAATAGGTCGGTGGAAAAATCCACTGAAGTATGTCAGGTAGTGCCATCTGTCAGCAGAGTGGTTTACTTGTAGTACCACTCTGTAGCGTATAGACGTTAGGGTCTGTACGTGTGACTATAGATGGCAGCGCCACACAGTGTGTGTCGCGATCTCTTGATCCTACCTTTGAGCTTTGCCACTAGATGGCTACATTATCACTAGAACTTCATGTTATACCGGCTCATATCGTATAGACGTTAGGGTCTGTACGTGTGACTATAGATGGCAGCGCCACACAGTGTGTGTCGCGATCTCCCAATCCTACCTTTGAGCTTTGCCACTAGATGGCTACGATATCACTAGAACTCCATGTTATACCGGCTCATATCTATAATAGGGACAGTATTATGCAAGTTATTCCTGCGCTCAGAGATATAGTTGGTAGTAAATACCAAACGTTAAGTAAAATAGGCGCCAGCTACTACATTCATCAAATAATACCACAACAAAATTGTATCATACTATACTATAGGTATCATACTATGTTGTAGTGTTAATGTTTGATATAGAATAGTATTATTCAATATTGTAGTGGTATTATTATATGAATGTAGTGACTGGTGCCTATTCTACTAAACGTTTGGTATTTACTACCAACTATTTTTCTCAGAAACTGTTGGAGATGGAAACTTGATCAATTTGAAATTTTTTTGCGTAATGTGAACCTCTTCAATATGAACTTTTGATTTTTGAAAAATGTCAACCGTTCCTGAAATATTTTGAAAAAACTGATTTTGTGTGAGTAATTGATCATGATGAAGAAGATGAGATTGTTAGAAATATCATATCTACATCATTTTTAGAGATTCACTATGCATATTTTTCTCATGGACGCCATATTTGTTTTTCATACCATTAAATAGAGCTAAACATTCCTCCCACAGCTATGAATAACATATTGATATTTTCACATGAAACAGCGCCAAAAAAACAAAAAAAAACAGGTAAAACATTCTCAAATTTGGAAGGCCATGATAAGAAGAACAGAAAATATCAGTTGTCATGACGACAAGTATCAATACTTGTTTATAGCCATGAATAACATGCTATATTATACTACAAAAATGGGAACAATGCACTGAAAAATCAAAAACCAAGAATAATCATCTAGATACTATTACTGATAACTATTATTGAAGGTTTTCATGAAGTGTTATAGACTTGGTCTTGACATGAGTTTCAATTTGATTATATTTTTATGATATAATTAACTATTTATCGATAAACATTGATTCGTTCTCAATATTTTATGGGTTTGTTTTTGAATTCACTTCATATCAAAATCCATTCTATCTACGAAGAAATCATCAGATATATGATTTTTAACGCAAGTCAAATTCTGGTAAACGTACCTTGATTAATGAAAAAAAAATATTATCCTTGGTTTTTCTGTGCCCTTTTCTCCTTTTGCATAATAATGTAGAGTCATAGCATGTTATACATGGTTATGTAGAAGTATTGATACCACATTTCAGACTGTTTTTACTGTTTTTTAGCGTTGATCCATGTGAAAATGTCAACTTGTTATACATGGCTGTGAAATAAACTTGAAGCACTATTCAATGGTATAAAAAACGAGAGAAAAACAAAAGTTGCATAGTAAATCTCTGAAAAAAATGGACATAGAATATTTCTGAGAATCTCAACTTCTTTTTCATGATGAATTACCTACTTAAAAAACATTTCCATTTGTTTTCTCTGATATTAACCCAGGAAATAAATACGAAATCAGTGATTCTTCAAGTTATATCAAAATATTTCAGGAGCGGTTGATATTTTTTTCAAGATTGTGAAAAGTCATATTGAATAAGTTCGAATTACGCAAGTTCTGTCTAATTTAATCGACTTTCTATCTCTCATCCGTATAGGAATTAACAAACTGTCCCTATTAAATCTTGAATCGCCCGGACCCTGTACGTATATAAAAAATGCAGCAAAGCAAAACTTTCTTATTATTTATTACTTCACGATGGCAGATCTACACATTAATCACCCAATATCATATTTCATTCCTGCTATTTCTTATGCATTTATGCACAATGAGGAAGCATAAATATCTAGTTAGACATGCTTTTTGAATAAACTGAACAACGTGATCAGTAGGCCATGTATCCTCGATGGATAGGATGTGCAACACGATGTTCATTTGCCAGTGGAACAAGGGCAGTGGTGTTTTGTTTTTCTGTGATTTTGTGTATACAGTGTGAGCTATCTCCAATTCTCACTTCGTTTGTGCCCTCTATCTTATTGCAGCATTTGATTGCAGAGATACTGTTGCTACCAAATGAAAGATGTTGAAACATTACTCAAAAACAGCTGAAAGCTCAGTCACTTCCAAATTGAATAACTGAATCCAAAGTTGATTGTCGATATTCAGCTCAACACAGTTAGGTATACAGTGTGTCCGTAATGTATGGAATAAATACGATATATCCTGAACTGAAAGCCTTTTGAAAAATGTGTAGAATATGTCAATGTTCTACACATTTCACAACATAATATCATTATACATGATGTCATCGGCAAATTCATTCAAATGTATCACCTTGTATTTTGTGACATTTTTAGATCAATGAGGTATGATACTTGAGGTCTAGAAATGTCGAAATGGATATAACAAGAAAATCAAAAAATGAAGAGAGAGCTTCAAAAATCTTGCAGATGGTTGTTAATACAGGGTGAGTCATGAGGAACTGTACATACTCCTACTACGAATAGAGGCCCCTGAGGGGAACACCGAATGTCCATCAGAAAGTGTCTTCTACACTTCTCTCCCAATATTATGAGATTTGGAAAAAAAACCTTTTGGTCATAACTTTCCAACAGCTAATATTCCGCTACTACTCTCTAATCGACTGACTTATTCAGAATCAGGAAGATCCAGGGCCGTTTTCGAAAAATTTTGATAGTTTAGTTTATAGCAAACAGCTCATCCTGTATTTCTTCGTGTAAACTGTGACAGGGAATTTTCAAAGGTCACAAACAAGCATCAATGATGAAATATTTCAAATTTTCACTGCAGTTTGAAAAAACTATATATATTTCATGAAGAAACGAAAATTCGTCAAAAAATTAATTTATTTGGAAATTAATACTTCGCAACCCATTACGAAAGAAAGTGAGATATATCAACATATTATTCTATTCTGAAGCCTGGATTTAGTAATTGAATTCTTTTGTGGAGGATCATAATCACCCTGTAGATATTTTTCGAATCAGTGGATGAGGTATATGTGAAAATGTTGATGGTCATCGCTGTAAATGATTTTATGATTTCAATTGACAGTTTTATCTATTCGATTTGTTTTATTCAATTAATTTGGTCACTTATTTTCCGTAATAGAATTATTATCCGCCTTTGTCAGTATAGCTTTTGAAAAATAATTGTGAGTATACCTTCATTTTCAGTTCGACTATCTTGAATTATTTGAATCGATGACCATCAGCATCTAAACACATACCCCATCCACTTATTTGGAAAAGATCTACAGGGTGATTATTACTCTCCACAAAAAATGAAATGACGAAATCCAGGTCTGGAAATGAAAGAACATGTTCATTTCCATTGGGCTGAAGCATTGAAAATTTGAGTCTTACTTTTATTTGTGAAATTTATGCATCGCCAAGTTAATATTTTCGAATGAAGAGAATTTGTTGTCAAATTTTCGTTTTTGCTTATAATTTATCGTTATTTGAAGAATTCTGTGGAAGTGTGAGGAGAATTTTGAATATTCTATTCTTGAAGCTTATTGTTTGTGGGCTTTGAAAATTCACATTCACAGTTTACGAAAACCATATGCAGGATGAACTTTTTGATAAAAGCAAAACTATGGAAAATTTACAAAAACGTTCCTGGATTTTCCTTATTCTGAATATTCCATGTAAAAATCAGACGAATCGAAGGACCTGTAGAAAAGTTATGACCAGACGAGGTTTTTGACACTTTCTGACGGTCATTATAGGTATTCCCCTCTATTCGTGGTAGGGTAGGAGTATGTACAGTTCCTCATGACTCACCCTGTATAAACCATTTTATATTCTGGTATGGATCAGATCAGAGTGATATTGGCTCGATAAATTTGAGAATATTCCGTTTTTTTGTTGTTGTACCAGCATACCATTGTCCACTATCGCTCTACTCACCAACTTACAATAACATTTGAATTCTTTCATTTTATAGGTCACATGTTGGTGAACTGGTATCTCTCAGAATTCAGTGAAGATCATCACTATAACACTTATTGGAATACGCAGGATTTGAAAATCTTAGCAATACAATTCTGCACCCACTTACTGGCTGCAGGAGTTTTGAAACAGATACCAGATAAAGAGGTCCCAATGTACAACATATTCAAGGTAGGTTTCTTAAAAAATGCAATGAGCTAATGTATAATTAGATACAAACACGGATCTGGAGTTACAATTTTTAAATAGTATTTGATTCTAACTTTGGAATGACTAAATATGTTTTTCTTCTCAAATTTGGTACGTAGCTTTGAAGAGCAATGAAACCAATACACAAAAATTACATTCGATGACGGAAGTAGAACTCGAGTGTTTCAAAAAGTGAAGATCTCTAATGTTAACATGAAAAGGGACTTGATTATGGTAATCAATGTTTATTGTTTATTGAGAAAATAGCTTCCAGTCAGAAATAAAATTCTGAGGAAGTTGAATACAAAGCAACAATAATAAAATAAAATGAGTTGAAAACAAAAAATCTGAAAATTCTGAAAATGCTTAATCGATCAAATCATAAAAATAGCAACAGGGATTGATTAGTAGATGGCTCGTAACAAAATTTTTTGATGCAATTTTAAATTTTGAAATATGTCTGCAGTTTTTCATAATATGTGGTAATTCATTGAATTCAGCGTGAGTAAATTTTGACCAATATAATAGAAGTCGCAGAATCAAGATGAAATAAGTTTAATTGTCTCGTGTGATGAACATGAATTTCTGAGGTTCTCATCAAAACAAAATTGGATTTCAGGATTTTTCTTTATGATATTATATAAATCTTCAAAAGAATTTATTTTATACAATATTAATACATTCAAATTGAGAACCTCATTTTCCAAAATAAGTCATACTATAGTAGGAGATCCGGCTGCAGATATCTATACCGTCATCTGATAACGAAATTATATACAGGGTGGGCCACCAGTAACGCTTCGGTCTCTAGAAGGCTAATCACTTATCTTCTTGGAGTTCTTCCTCTCTATATAGGAAGTTGCATGTCAACATAGGCTACCATTCGAAATTATTTTGAAACATACTGGATGTCCCCAAAAATCACAAAACACTGAAGTTGAACTTTTTTCAATCGAACACCCTATATATTATTTCATTTTGAAATTCTCCCTGGTGAGCTGATTTCAACAATCCATCATACTTGGGGTCTAGCAGTTATAATTACTGAGATATAGGGTGTGAGAAATCGAGATTTTCCAAGTTCAAGTATTTTTTGTGTCTAAACCATTCATAATTGGTCAAAACGGCTCACATGTCCCTATCTCAACTTTTGATCAACTATCCACTGACATTTAATTGAAACAAATACAGGGTGGTGCAGAATTCAGAATCTTGATCACCCGGTATATGTCCCAATTAAATATCAGTAGATAGTTAATCGAAAAATTTCGAGCCTAAGCGAACAATAAAATGATTGACAGATATTTCATAATGTTTTTACATGACGAATGCATTCAAATGTACTGTTATAAGCTCTTCTCGTTATTGTTCAGCGTTTTCCACTGGTCATTATAGTGCAGAACTGACACTACACCGTCAATAATGAATATACACTGATAAGAGCATAATTAATCATTCCAGAATTACGTCATTTGACAGGTTGCTGAGGGGCAAACATTGTATTTTGTCAAGATTTGTCATGTAAAACCAAAATTAGTGGGATCGTTTTCCTTGGAATCCGAGTTGGAACCAGAAAGAATATCATAATTTTGTTTGGTGGAACTGTTATTATATTGTGGATGTGGCGGGGATGGCCAGGGATATGCTCATAAAGGTAACCTAACAGATAATTTGTGTGCCCCTCAAGAAACGATGTCAAAATCGCGTGTTCTAGAATGGTCAATTCCAGTCCAGTGGAAAACCGATCTGGAATAGAAGCCCATATGTAGTCTATAATCAGTTCTCTCCTTTGGCTGATGATGGACACCCTGGTTGTCTGAAACAAGTTTCCATTCCATTCCTGTTCACTCATAACATTAACTCACAAACTTCATATTCTCACTTCACTGAGACCACGTTGATTTTAGCCCGACTGCATGTACTACTGGACCCATGCCGAGACCCCCATATCAATACCACAAACCCCCGGTCGTCTTAGCATGATATCATGGCCACCTACCTCACCCACAGAACCATTCTCCCCATGCGGCAACGATCTCATACCGACCATCCAATCAGAAAGCGAAGCTCACCTCATACCCCGACAAGAACTCAGAAGCTCAGCCAGGGACGTGGAACTTTTATGCTTGGAAGAAGAGGTCAAGAGGCTAACTCAGGAAGTAGAGAAATACAAAACCCTCATAGAAATACAGACACTAACAAACAAAGCGATGACGGATTTTGGTTCGCCAGTAGAAGAAAATAAAACGTTCGCCAGCTGTGATAATTCAAGTGGAGTGAAAAGTGATAAGGGAGTGAGTGAAAGGACGATTGTACATACTGAAGCACAAACGAGTGAGGCAGATGCAAAACACAACGTTTCCACTCAGACCGAAGAGCCAGTAGCACAAACAGCACAAGAAACCACTATTCAAAATGAGCAGAAAACTCTTTGTTCTACCATCCCCTCATTACCAACGCCAGAAGTTAGCAAGCCTCCCCCTGCTCCACCTCCAATGCCAGAAATGTCTAGTGTTCTCCCTCCTCCTGCTCCTCCGATGCCAGAAATGGTTGTACCTGCCTCTCCATCATTGCCAGGAATGAGTGGGCCTCCCCCTCCACCACCTCCTCCCATGCCAGGGCCTTGTGGACCTCCACCTCCTCCTCCGATGCCAGGGATGGATGGACCTCCTCCTCCTCCTCCTCCGATGCCGGGAATGGGAGGACCTCCCCCTCCTCCGATGCCAGGGATGTGTGTTCCTCCACCTCCTCCAATGCCAGGGATGTGTGGTCCTCCTCCTCCTCCGATGCCAGGGATGGGAGGATTTGCTCCTCCGCCAATGCCAGGGATGAGTGGGCCTCCTCCTCCTCCGATGCCAGGGATGGGAGGACCTCCTCCTCCTCCAATGCCAGGAATGGGTGGGCCTCCTCCTCCTCCGTCTCCAGCGCCGTTACCAACGCCACCTGTTGGAGGTTGGAATCCTCAGAAAGCTGGTAAGTTTCAGATGGTCTTTTCTCTATTATATTTTGCATGAATGTTTCTGTGTTTTCAACTATTGATGGGAATTCGGATTTTGATTGTCTAATATTTGGAAACGAAGCACAATTATATACTGGATATATACTATTCGAAATTCAGAAGTTTGTCACCTGAATATGATGATTTCGATCAGAATTTCGATGATTTTTTTCTTAAACCATTCAAAGGTGATGATGACTATATTCAATGTTGTATAGGTATGAGAAAATGACCTATATAAATTGAATCTTGAATTTCCATCAAACATTAGAACTCATATCAAATTGGTTCAGGTACTCAAGTGGAGTCTCATAATACCCGCTGAACATTTTGTCGATTTCGACCATACATGATATTATAGAGGGTGTATAAATAGTTATTTAACCAACAAGTGCATTAATGAGGGCGATTAATGATCGAGATATCTTAACGGGCGAGCGAAGCGAGCGCGTTAATGTTAGAGATCAATAATTATCATAGCCTTTCAATATACAAGTTGGTTACAAAATTTTTCCGTCGACTATATTTCTCATTTCTCCTGCAATGTTGAAAACTTGATTCGCGAATTCATCATTCATCCGGAAACTGCTAAAAATCACCCAGTATCCTTAATTGTTACTGACATTAGTGACATTTGACATTTGTCGAAATGATCGACATAGAAAATAAATTACTTGTGTTAGACAACAGGGATTAAAATCGTGTCAGAAACTTGGAAAGGCGAACTCGTTAACGGAAATCCATATTTTCGATTTAAATGCAGATTCCGTAAGTTATAGCATGAAACAATGAACGCACGCGGTGTACGTTTGGTTGCCTATAAAACAATCGTGCATTAATAAGACAAATTGATTATTAATAGGGGTCATTAATGAACGATTTCATGAACATTAAACTTACTCGTTAATACGAGGTCGACGGAAAATTCAATATCTTCATCAACTATGAAATGACGAAACATTCAATAATTGCCTGGATATATCGACGTTTAACTTCGTAATTTAAGGAAATAAGCTGAATTATTTCGTACACCTTTCGCTTCAAATAACCATATAAAAAAAGTCTCAAGGTATCAAATCTGGCAAGTGGGCTGACCATTCCGTAGGACCTCGAACCAATCCAACGACCGAGGAAAGTATTATCCAAATAGTTTCTAACTTGTCTGGAGTAATGTGGTGGTGTCCCATCTTGTTGGAATACAATATCCATAATTATGTGTTCGTATTCAGGCAACTATTAAAAACTGTTCTGCCATTTTGTAATAGGTGAAGTAATTGTCTTTATATTCTAGGGTTGAGAAGTATTCTAGAGGAGTTCTGGAAGATTTGTCACAAACCCACCCCAATTTCCATTTAATTTTTTTCTCAGGTGGCACCCATTTGCCATATTCAAATTTGTATCTCTCAATTTAACACATATATAGTATTCATGCATCAACTTCATTATCTCATCCAAGCGTTTTCAATTTTATGATGATGTCTCTTCCAATAGCTAAAAGTTGGTTAACTTTCACTAATTTCCAAATTGAAATTGATTTTTCTGAAAAAAGTTAATTTTCGAATTTCCCCTGAGATCTTTCTCAATAGCTGAAAGCTGATGACTTACTCACAGGTACGAACTGATGATGATTGTTAGTCAGTCAAAAGCTTTCTGCTACGAGGAAAATTTGAATGAAATTTATTTCGCACTGTATATTAGAGGGCATCACATTCATGCCACACATCACATCCGTGACTCGAACTGCGAGAGTCCCACTGGTATCACAATTCTGCTATTTCGGACCCTTTTGGTCATTTTTTTGGGTCATATTATGATGCCAAATGAAACTCGCAGTATACGTATTTTGCGACTCCTCATTCAACATCAAAATTGATTGATTCAATTTGTTGCATAATTAGGCAAGAATGTGAGGTTTCAGTGGATCTCTTGGTTGTTAGGGAGCCTCACAAATTTTCTCACAAATCCATCAAAATGTGACGAATATTGCAGATGTTTTGTAAAATGAAAAGTATTCTGGCAATACCAATGATGTTTCCTTATAATTCGTATTGTTACCTAGTGAGACATGAAAATGACACCTCAGGGATGTTTGTGTTTACTGGGCAATATAATAATATCATTCCCTCAGACACAATTCGCTTTCTGATCCGGTTACAAAATAGGTGTGTGATGAGGCTTCACTGAGTTATTTCATTTTCACTAGTGAAGTTCATTCACTATTTCTTTGTATTTTGTTAAACTGTAGTACTGAGAATGCACCTTTCCTTCTTTATTTTTGTGTAGTGCTCCACCAGGCTCCAACGTATCTGGGTAAGAACTGTTTCTTCTTCTTTCGTTCGGGGTATTTGGAGCTTCGCTGGTTCTGTGTGACAACTGTGAATGTTCAGTCCATGCCGAGGTTTTTGGTTAATGTTAGTTGGTTGTGCTAATTATATACTTCTCTTGAATAAAAACTGCTTCACATTTGAATTGAAAAACAATCGAACAGTTCATTTTATTTTTATTATGACGATTCAGAAATTTGTTCGCCTCTCTCCATGTCAAATGTGAAGCGATTTAGTTGGAAAAAATGTATTTGGTTCAATGAGTTGAGCGTAAAATATTGGGAACTACGCATAGAAAGCGTATTTCAATAGACACGATGTTTATAGAAATTAAATTCAAGATTACTATGGAAAATGCAAAAATTTAATAAGACAAAGAGTTTTGGACTCCAAGATCAAGTTGACTTCTATAACTCTTGATCCCTACTACTTATTGAACGAAATACATTTCTACAATAATCAGTTTTGGCACAATGAGTAATTCTACAAGTTGTATATAAATGAGTTTGAAAAAATTCAGTAGTTGATTCCTTGTCGTATGTTAGGAAAGAGTTTTTAAACATATTTTTCTCAATTTGCCTCATCTATGAGATACAGGATATGTTGATGTTGACAGAAATGATTTTTTTTCATGCTCTCCCTGTGTAAGCTTTCATTGCATGTTCTACAAGAGATAAAAGAACTTGATGGTTGTGTGAGTGCACCGGCATTATAAGGAGTGAAATCGAATTTTTATTCTTTCCTCAAAAATTAAACGATAGAATAAACTGTAGGACAAGGGAGAAGAAACTCCAATTGTTCAATCTTATGAAAATATGAATAGGTATCCAAGAAAACACTGGCATACAATGATGTTCACTATGAAAATCACTGAAGTTGACCATTGCAACGCCACTGGAATTTTCATTTCAGAAGGGTTGAATTGGGTACATCCTCTGGAAGTTCTTCACTCGATAGGTAATCAAAAACGACTTATAACCCTAAATATTGAGTTTATATGTTATGTGTGTAATATGTATGTACTTAATTTCGATTCATCATTGGGAATATTGTATATTGAACTTGAAAAACATTTAAATTCGAATCAATTTTGATAATATGGTGTTCTTCATCGAGTCGTCAAAATACTCCTGTATCAGAAAAATGACTCACACTGTGTATTCTTCTTTCCATTAAATATATGACAAGATATCACCACTAATTTTTTTCGTATTTATCTATATACACCTTGTATATAACAAATTATTTTCTAATTCCCTGAGGAGAGACCGGGGATTGGTGGCTTCTCTGTTTGTGGACTATTTCATGGCAAATGATCACGGAGACAAGAAAACAACTAGATATGATATTTCTGCTGGTGAAAATTCATCGAATATCGATATCGAATATAGAGAAAAAAAAAATTTTTTATCACGAAATAAAAAAAAATATAGATGACTACCCCTGATAGCACACAATGTCCTAGGGACGTCCCTATTTGGTCCGAATGTCTCGGACCAAAAATGAGTGTCCTTGGGACGTCCCATCCCGTACATCTAATGCAATGTCCGAGCAAGGACATCCACGGAATGTCCCAGCAGGTATATAATTCCGAATGTCCTAGAAATAGCATCCCTTAGACGTCCCACGTGGTACATATTGAGAATATCCATGCAAGGACGTCCTTGATACGTCCCTGATGGGAAATGATTATAATCGTTCCTTTAGGGACATCCTTCGGATCTGCACAGACGCCCACAATATTTCCATGATCGTATAACAATCGAAATATCCCTTAGGGACATCCTTCGAATGTCCCTTAGGGATATCCGTCGGATGACCCAATTGGTACATTAACTGTACTCTTCCAATGTCCTAGAAATAACGTCCTACGAACGTCCCAATCGCTACTTTCGATATGTTGTCCCTGCGAGGACGTTAACTTACACCTCGCCGACGAATGATTGCTTGTAGGCAATAAATAATCTCTGTCAATGTCCTTTACGTAAGTCCATTGGACATACCCTTGGGAATCTTTTTCAGAATATATTGGGGACCTTCTACGGACCATTAACTCAACTGGATGTCCTCATCAGTTATGCAAGATCTGGTCCTAGAGGGACCCAGAAAAATTCTGATGATGGATTAATTCTTCGAAACATGTCTTATGTCCATGACCGTTATGGTCATTATTGAATTGGTTATGTGGTGGAGTTGGGACTGTAAGTTCTTTCACCACTCCTAACCCAGAGTAAGTTTCCGTAAACACCAATTAACAAAGAGAGACGAACTATTATAGCTGGCTGCTATTACCCCAGTGGCCACCATTCCCTTAGTTTCTGCTAACTCTGCTTCTGCACTAATCGACACCAAATGAGCAAGAAACCCCATTCTCAAATACTTTGTTATTACAGCCCTCCGAAAACCCCCAGTCACCCCTCTGGTGCCAATGAAACCCCTGTACTGGACCAGGATCCTGGCACCCCCCACAGCGCCAACAGTGGTGGACAGCCCCACCACGAACATCGCCCTCTGGCGGGAAATCGAAGAACTGCCGATGAAAGAACTGTCGGAATTCACGGAGCTCTTTTCCAGACAGGTGGTGGCTAGGAAGCCGACTGTCAAAAAGGTGGAGCAGAAGCTGAAGGTCGAAGCTGTCAAACTGTTGGACAACAAGAGGTCGCAGAATGTGGGGATTTTGGCGCAGAGTTTGCGGGCCGATATCCAGGAGATAGAGAATGCGATTTATAATTTTGATACTTCCATTGTTAGTTTAGAGGCTCTTCAGCAAATTTATGAAGTGGTAAGTTTGTTGTTAGAAGAATACAGCATATAACCTTATATTACTTATTTATGTTCGGTTGGCCGTGGATGATTATCGATTCTATTAAATTGATCATACTTCAGTTGGAAAAAGTTGCATACCGAACATTAACAGTTGTCTCTGTTTATGTTCGGTGGTAATACTGATGCATTTTCATTTTTCAGAGGGCGAATGAAGAGGAATTTGACCTGATCAAATCCCATTTAGCTTCAAAGCCAGAGGTCCCCCTAGATAAACCCGAACAGTTCCTGTATGAACTCTCAGAAATATCCCATTTCGCTGAGAGAATATCATGCCTAATGTTTCAAGTGGAATTCGATGATTCCATAAGTACCATTGGCCATACGTTAACAAATATCAAAAGTACCTGTGATGTGAGTATACATATTCTTGTTCTAATGGAAAATAAATCGGGTGCCTCATACAAGGTGGGCCAAAAGAAGTCATCCGATGTTATTTGGCTCTCATTTTTTTTCTAAATGAAAAGCTTCGATTCTGTTTTTTGATTATGTTTATTTGAACCTTTAGAATTTTATTGGTCAAGTCGAGAAGATGATATCGGCCAAATGGGCGCCGCCACAATTGATTGCTATACGGGCTCGTTTTATGGCATTTTTCATCACTTCGGCGAGATCTTCGGGCGACAGATTCTGGCACTCGTGTCAAATGTTGTCCTTGAGGGCTTCCAGGGTCTCAGGCTTGTTCACGTAAACACAAGACTTCAAAAAACCCCACAAAAAATGTCTGAAATATATGGTTAAATCGGGCGATCTTGCGGGCCAGATCAAATCGCCAAAACGAGAGATGAGGCGATCTGGGAATGCCGCCTTCAGAATATCGGTTGTGGCTCGCGCAGTGTGTGCTGTTGCTTCGTCCTGTTGGAACCACATATCCCCCTAATTCGTTCAATTGCGGCAGAAAAAACTAGGTAAACATGGCCATATAGCGCGCACCGTCCACTGTTGTCGTTTGACCAGCGGCGACCTCGAAAAAAATGGCATGATGACTCCTCCAGAGTAAACATCAGCGCACCATGCAGTCACTTTGAGCCGGTGTTATGGCTTCTCGTGCATCACTCGTGGATTTTCAGTGCCCCAGAAGCGATAGTTCTGCTTGTTGACGTACCCGCTGAGGTGGAAATGAGCCTTGTCGCTCATTATGATTTTGGTCGAAAAATCGTCCACGAGATTGAGGATGGCTTGGCTTGGATTATTCCGCTTTCTTGGGGAGTGTATCGCTCCATGGCTTGTTCACTTGTATTCTACATCTGTCTAGTTCACAAATGTCGTAACAGATCTGACATTGGGCGCCATTTGCAAAAATAAGAGCATCTTCCATTAGCGTGATTTCTATTGGCCCACCTAGTATATAGGCTATATGATATCAAGTATGCCGAGATATCGTGAAAAATTCATGTTATTTTTCTTTTTGTGTCGGCCGTTTTTTGATGAAAATCTATTAAAGATTTCCACAAACTTCTTAATAACATGGCATGTTTCGCTAATACAATAGCTTCCTCAAGTGAGATACAATGAAAATATGATTCTTTCAATTTTAAAATTCACCATGGATATTGAATCAATGAATTCAATCAATTTTGAGGACGAATATCAACATCCAGGCTCGTTGAAATGAAATCTGCGTTTTATTATTCATTAATCAATATGGTGTAGGCAATTGATAACGATAAATCTGAATATGTGAAAATATACGAGGTGTTCCATTAAAAAAAATCATCTTGTAGCTCCGCGTTCGAAAAACTTGTAGAAATCAAAATAATTCTGCTTCAGAGACCAAATGATATGTATGTACTATCCCCAAAAATGGCAATATCGCGCTATAAAGCTTTTCCTCACTGCGTGGAGATTTTATTTCGAACATTCAATAAACATTCAAAAACCTTCAGTAGCAAACTTTATCTATACTTCTGATGTCTTTCGGGTGTCCACTGTCATCCATTTTGGAAAATGACCATCACAGCCAAGGGGCAGTTTTGTTCATATTTTATGGGTCTATCCGTTACCATCGAGACAATACTCGATGGTAACGGTCTATCTCTGTGCCAAATTTCGTACCGTACGTAGGTATTCAAATGAGAAATGGAATTATCAAAGTCTCTGGAGCAGATATTTTTTCAAGTTAATTATGAATCTAGAAACTAGATTCTAGTTGCTTCCTGTATATTTCTCGATTGACTTGGTAATTAGTTGTATAGGATGATTCATCCAGTAAGAAAAATGGATTATTTGCCAATATTTTACTTATACAGTATGATGCAAATGTATGGAATAAATTCATTATTTCAGAAATGGACGACATTTGTAGAAATTCCAAAAACACGTGAGTTTTAATTTTTGAAACCTCATCTCATGACATTCATATGAGAGATGTTATTACGTCACCGGTGTTGGAGTAATGACGTAATGGACGGTTTTTTTAAATACAAACAGAGGTCATGTGACACCTTGTTTGAAAGGTCTACTGATCGTCTATCCAATAGTCAAAATTTTGCAAAAGAAGATTGAAATTGAAATGGATTATCATTTGGTTAACTGAATCTTGCAGAGATCTTCTACTGAGAATTGAACATCGAAGGGTCGTTAGTTGAAAAAATACATCGATAAAAAAGTTCTGAATTCTACTTTTTGGATTTTTTTCGGAAGTCGTCTTGTTTTGAAATGAATTTATTCCATACATTTGCATCATACTGTACATATATAATTATGTAATGAATTGATTTCATTGATACTTGAATTTGTAATTTTCAATTTATATTGGACAAATTCTATAAAACAACCTATTTCGAGTTTGTATAGTGATATCAGATCTAATGAATCTCTAGGTTTTTAACAATTCATGGATAATTCTAGAAAATATAAAATGAAACTACACTTCAATGTTATAATTTGTGATTTCATCAATGGTACTTCCCCATATTGATATCCGGTATTGAAATTTTGAGACAATAATAGAGAAATAAATACTCTTCAAGTATCTAGTAGGAATGAAATTTCCAATTTTGAATACAATGCCTGTAATGGGATTTTAAGTTTGTTTCTCAAATAATAATAATAATAATATAAGTTTATTCAAAAACGTTTTCAAAATATACATTGGAATAAACATATAGGTAATTTGAATAAACTGGGAAAAACCTTACGAAGTTAACCTTGTAGTAAGGGTAAAAAATAAATAAATGATCGCTATGTTCATTCCATAATAGTCGTCCATCAATATAAAGACCTACATACCCACCTACCTACCTAATTTTGTAACATCTGTATATTCGATGAATTTATTGTTAAAGAATAGTGCCCTATTCTATATGTTCAGTGGTCTCTTTGAGGTGATACATGAAAATATGAGGAATTTCCGATTTTAAACTTGACTTACTTGACATCAGAAAAGTGAATATGGACAGGAATTTCCTAGGGTTATGATGATGAATGATTAACTTTATTCAGAAAAGAGTACACCAGCTAACTGAAAATGTACCCGATGAAGGCAATTATCCCAATTTTTTTTTCAATTTTTTTTCTCATTTTTGTTTCATTTAGAACAACTAATCAACAGTCAATCAATTTCCCGAGTATGTATGTCACGTGAAGAAGCTACTTACGGTGTATGCGAAACTGTCGAAAAATGTAGTCTTATTAAGAATTTTGTGCAAATCCTTTAGTTCGTAAAGTTTTCTACATATTCATAGTTTTTACATTTTTAGTTTTTAATTAATAGTGCCGAGCTGAAGGAAGTGATGGCGATAATTTTAACCCTTGGAAATTATATGAACGGGGGTAACATGACGAGAGGCCAAGCTGACGGGTTCGGTTTGGAAATACTGTCAAAACTCAAGGACGTCAAATCTAAAGATTCCAAAATCACGTTGCTCCACTATATCGTCATGTTGTATATGAAGAAAATTGATAATCCCCTTGAACCTAACATACTTCTACCAGTACCTGAACCAGGAGACATCAGAAGAGCTGCCTCAGTCAATTTTGATGAAGTCTCACTCGATCTGCAAAAACTACAGAAAAAATTAGAAGGTAATAAATCACTTGGGAGGAATTCTTATATACTCACTTCCCGATATTTTTTTAGCATGCGAAAAAAAGTCTCAAATTATCATCGAAGCCTCAACTCCCGAAAATCTTCAACCGTTCAAAGACAAGATGACAACATTTTTGGAAAATTCTAAAAAGCAGCTGGCTGCGGAATTTGAATCTCTCGAAGAATGTCATAAACAGTTTATTTCAACGATGAAATATTATTTGTTTAAACCCAAAACGGGAACTTTAGAAGCCTTTCCGCCAAATTCGTTTTTTGAATTATGGTTACAATTTTGCATAGACTTCAAGGATATTTTCAAGAAGGAACTCATCAGGCTGGAGAAAGAACAGTAAGGATTGAATCTTTCTTCGAAAATGTCTAATTATCTTTCACATGTTCTTTTGATTTTCAGTGTTAAAGAAATTAAGAGGAGAGAAATTGAAAGAAAAGATGAGGGGAAGATGATAAAATTGAGAGAGAATGGACTTAAAGCCAAAATAATGAAATTAAAAATGAAACAAAAAAGAGACCAATGATTTCGTACTTATTTGCGGAAATATTTTTTAAAATGTTTTCAGTATTTAGGTGTCTTATTTATTTGTCGAATATTTTATTCTATTTGTATGTATTTGTTATAATTTTTTAATGAGACATTATATGATTATTTTTATTAACATAAGGTTATTTCTTGATCCAATCTGAACCATATTATGAAATTATCATCAGTGAGATAATTTGAATAAGTCTCGGAGCAACATCATGTTAAAATATACCGGATGAAATCGCATCATAACTCAATAGACAAGTCTAACGAAATGATCGTATAGTAGATGCATTTTGTTTGTATAATCGATTTTCAATTAAGAGAGAATTGAGTAGTTGCATAAAATTCCAGATAAAGGAATCAAGAATCGCTCCAAAGATACAAGAATACAGAAATGAAGTAGAACGAGTCGATTTGCACTGTATAGTGTATTATAAATATATACAGTTTGTAGTATATCACTATATAACCATTTTTTTCTAAATTTCATCCTGAAATCGGATAAAATGGCGCAGTTATAATAGTAGGGAAGCCCAAGCGGCAATTTCGGGATTTATTCGAGCGAGGCACAATACTTGGGCCCTTTATATGGTGTCGAAAGTTTTGGGCAGCCGATCAGATTAGTAAAAAAGAAATCGATCGTCAGAAATACTAGAGCGCGTCAGATTATGACATGGTACGTTAGTTACATGCAGAAAAGTTTGCATTCCAATAATCAGACGATTTTAGCGTGACATAGGAAACTGGGAGAGCCACAAAGTTGCAAAAAAAAATCTTCACCTGAACATTCTCGAGCGCGGTTGATATTTTTCTCATTTTGGATCACGGAAATAACATAATCTGCCGATTTGCACAAGCCGAAGTAGCGAAAATCATAAATTAAGTGTGGTGATTGCAGAGCCACTGGGAACTATGTATGTAATTGTGGTAATGTAGGAAACTAAAAAAAAGGTATCACTTCGTATATTGATATCAATGCTTGAACCTTGTCAGCTCATAAGGAAAAATCTGAAAATGTAATAAAATATAAGGTGTGCTATAAGAAAAAGTATAATTTTGATACGCCACGCATTTTTGAGTGACCCTGTATAACGCAAAATATTTCAGAAATTTACTGCTCATGAGACTAGACCATCTCAAGAATTTTTGTCCATATCCCAAACAGCAAAGCCGTTATCTCACTTTGCCACACTATTCGTCCACCCTTTATGTCTACATGAGGCCTATTCCATCTCAAAATTGTGAATACTTCGAGCAGTTGAAGTCCTGCTACATCTTGTATATTTTAGTTATTACATCAGTTAACAAAAAAAATCCAACCGTCAGATTGAGGTAATTCATCTAAATAATTGTCAGATTATGGGTCGCTACGATATGGTCATCAAGATGAAGAGTCTGTATAATAATCTGAGGCGCTCAAGTATTTCAAATTCACGTTTTTTTTTCATTTTTAAAAATTCATTATGACTTTTGGTCACGTCCAAATCGTCAGTCTTTCGAATAGGGGTTACTTGAGGGTTCACTTAACGTCCCTTTCTCAATATCTGATGCGCTCGAATACATTTTTTTACCTATTCTCTATCCTTTCGGATGGCCACCCCCACCATGCAAACCCGGCAGATTAATATTTTTCGGTTATTAGAAACTATTTAGACTATTAGAGACTATTATTTCCATGTGACTGTTTTTTTTTACATTTTTGAACACCTGTACACGCTCTCCCCACCAGTGAAAGACCATACATCATATAATCTATTTTTCATTTTCGCATCTAATCTTCAAAATCTTATACTTTCCCACGACGCTCGAGTAAATCCCTATTTAGCTTCCCCTTCAATAGGGTTGAACGGGAATATTAACTAAGCAGCATTTTTTATAAATCACCTGTAATTTCATAACTGTCAAACAGTTGAATGACAAATCAATGTTTTGATGGTTTAAGATGTCAAAAATTCTGTGAGAACAATCATCAGTTCAGAATATTCAAATTTATCAAATGTATTTTCGTCATGTGAACACAAGACATTCATCCTGTCCATCCATCAGTTGCCCAATCATCAACATCACTGAAAATAGTCTAAAAAACCGTTCTTCAAAGAAACTTCATCCCACCTTCCCGATGCATAAATACGATAAAACGACCAATCCTGGAAGATATAACGAAAATGTGATCAAGCTCCCTAGAAACTTGTACACTCAACTGAAATCTCCATCAAGTGAAGAACTTCAAGCAATCCTGCAAGGTAGTCTATTATCTATTCCAGAGAAAGAAGAGCTACCAAATTTCGCACAATACTGGAAACATCAGTTATTGGTTCATAAAGCAATCCAAAATTTCAATATGCATACTCCAGAATACAGAAACAAAGGCTGCCTCTGCAAGCCAGTCTATAAACTCAAGCAAGATAGTTCAGATAATAATCATTCAGTAAACAAAAGAAGAGGTTGTCCTTGCAAACCTACAGAGATACATCAAATGCAAGAAGTGATAGATCTGGTTGGTGCATCACAAATAGACCAAGAACAAGCAAACAAAGACACACAGAAAGATCCATCCCAGGACAGCATTTCGAAGGCTTCAGAAAAAATAAAGGTGTGTCTACCACTAGACCTCGAGAAGCTAGGCAAAGACTCTTCCGGAAAAACGATTAAATTGATTATCTACGGGGATAAGACTCATTGCGATTGTAAGGGCTGCAACTCAAACAGATCTGGAGATAAAAGCTCTAGTAACGAATGCCTAGCTTGTGCTCTAGCTAGGAGTCCTCAAATGAAAAACCTTTACTCGGGTTGGTCTGACGAAAAAGTTGAAAAAACCTCTAACAAACAGCGCAAGGGTTTTCCTTCCAGGTTATCTGAGGTGCTAGCTTCCAAACTTTCATTCTTAAAGAAAAAGCAGAAATCTTCGCCGAGCTGTCACTGTTCGGATAAATGTGCCCAAACTTGTGGAGTATCCAAGCTGGATTCAGCTGTAGAAACTACTAGAACTGCAGGAGCAACTTCCAAGGTAGACAGGGCGTGTAGTTGTATATGTTGCTCCAAGAATGAGGAGGAAACAAACACTGAGAGATCAGAACAAACTGCATCTAAGACAGATCCGTGCAAATGTCCCAGGTGCGGAAAATTCGATATAGAGAAGCTCACAATTGTGAGCCCAGGCCCGAATTCTTACCAGGATGATTGCCTGAAATGGGTTTTGAAGATGGAGGCCAAACAAAATTATAGACAGATCAAGTGTATCTTGAAGGAACTCAAAGAGCAGCGCCAGGAAATCAGAGGTTTGCACAAGCGCTATACGAGTTTGATAAAACTTCGTATCAATCATAGTAGCGATGAATATGTGGAGAAATATAAAACAATTATGAAGAACAGGCGAGAAAAAGAGAGGGATGAAGTAGAGTGGATCTCAAAGAGCAAGTGAGTTTTACTCGATACCTATTCATGAAGCGGGTTGCATATTCTGAAGATTGAATCCTGAATATCATATTCTGAAATTCGGATGTCTATGCTTTCATTTGCATCGGAGTATTTCATTTTACAATCATATATGTATACGCCCTCAACAATTCTTCGACGTTATTGGAACACCGTAGACAAGTCAGAAACCTTTCACTTTTCTATAGAAACTTCCATGAGATATCTTCGTTAACAATCTCTGCTATCATTACATCACTAGAAATACCAGTCAGACAATCTCGACAAGCCCTGTCAGCACATCCATTCGTAGTCAACCTTGAAATATGTCGAACAATAACACTTTGCCAAAGATTTGTTTGCCTATCTCCCTATCCTCCCAAGACACGCACGATGTTCATCGAACATTATAGGGATTCCTTTTCGTGCGCTCCAAAGTATGTTGAGCTTCATTCTTCCAGATTAATTGAAATATTGTGTCCTCCTTGCTATAAGATGATAATGAGAGTGATATTCATGGAAACGAGGAGAAAAAATCCAAAAAAATCTGGAAGAATGAATATTCAATCTCCTCGATTAACATTCAGACAGTATTATCAACTTATTGTTCGACCGATTTCAGGTTTTTCGTCTCTAAATAATTCTGATGTTGAAGATATTTTCCCTACACTTGATTTGTCCGATCTGAAGTAATTTCCACTAAACATGATACATAACAATTAATAGTTTATACACGACGGAAGGAATGAATATTAGTATTACCCATTATACGCAGGGTGTCCGCTAAAAGGAGGTCAATCCATTAACCATATATTCCTTGAACGAAAACAATATGAGTTTTTAAATACCATTTTTCATTTTGGCCCTTCATATTTGATATACAGGGTGTCAAAGTTGGAAATTGAAAACTGTTTTTTTTTAAATTACTCGCGTATTTAATGAGATATTATTCTCAAAATCGATACATTACTTCAGCACAAAGAGTTACATCGTGCAAGGCAAACAAAACAGAGAATAACTGTCAAATATTCAAAATACTGGGGGTCAAGTTCACACTTACCCCCATATTTTTTTGAACGTGCGCTAATGACTTCCTATCTATTCTTCTCCAAATGTTCAATCATTTCTGAGTATTTTTTGTCTTTTGTAAAATGTTGATAAAGATATTCGTTTTTAAGATAATTCGAAATGTACTGGTTATTGTTTGATGCCTATACGGCTGACGGTAATCTCATAATGTTCACATACTCCTATTTATTTCGTCGAAATTGGAAGAAGGCGTAACTTGTTACGTACGAAAAGGTAAATATAGAAATACTGGGTGCTCAGAGCGAATGTATTAAAATAATTAGAAAAATAAAAAAATTGATTAAAATTCAACACGTCTAAATGGATTGCTCGATAAGATTTTCTTTAATTAAAAGGGCTCGCATGTGTATTCAAAAAATTGGAGGTCATATCGGGCAATCCATTTAGACGTGTTGAATTTTAATCAATTTTTTTTTTGAAAAAAATTATTTTAATACATTCGCTCTGATAAATATTTACCTGCGAGACTCTCGCACGAGACACGAGAAGTCCTGCACGAGACTCGGGACGAGACCAATGAAAGTCTCGTCTCGTCTTGTCCGAGTCTCGTCTCGAGTCTTGTCTCGAAAACGAGACGAGACCATGCGAGAATCTCGAAAACTAGACTCTCGCGGGCACCACTACTCAAACCTAGCTCCAATCTCTCTTGTCTTTCTTGATTTGGCATATATGTATATGTTTTTCGAAATCCTATTAATGATAAAAACTCCTAATTCTAGTAATCTGGGTAGATAAGGGCAACTAACATTGTTTCTGAACTACAGAACAGCATAAATCTCATACTGCAAATGTTTTGTTCGTTTTATTCAGAGATATGAAGAATGCTATAAACCAATCTACACTGTCCGAGCAAAACGGCTACGAAGAGAACAACAAGACACTCAGTCCAGTAGATAATACTTCAACCTTATCACTTTTTGAAGAAGATTCAACTAAAACACCCAAAGTAAATTGTGTAGATGGTGAAAAGCCCGATGACGTGGCAGAAAAGGATAGTTGCACATGTACTCTGAAGAGTTCTTGCAAGCAACGTTTCAGAAACTTTTGGAGGAGCTTCCGCGGGAAAAGAAGAGAATGCTATCAGGAATGTGACTGTCCAGCCTCGAAGCCAATAGAGAAATGTAAAAATTTTCTTGTGAAAAATTATAAAAAAGCTACAAAATAAATGCGATTATGACTTCTTGGTAATAACAATGTTTATTCATAACCATAAGACATGAGGTTTGTGTAATTTATAAGCGCAATAAAGCATCTAGGGAAAATGACACCAATGACTCCTCTACAAACTTCCATCCTTCGGCTCACCAACTTATCAGCTTTGTCATTTTTCAACGAGTTTTATTTCAGGCAGATCACTTCATGTGGTAGTGGACGGAGTATCATCTGATACCATTGCCCATCAATTCCGGCGTTCCACACGGATCAATTTTGGCACCAAAACATTGTTCCTACTACATTTCAACGATCTATTGCGAGCAACCACTTGTCCTATCCACAGTTTTGCAGATGATACTACTCTCCATACTGCGTTCCAATCTAGAATTCCCATTTATTCCCAGGAAACTATTATTGTGCGAGAATTTCTGCGTGGGATATCTTCAAGACCTCTCTGAGCTCATCCTAGGCGGCGGACACTTGGAGGAGATATAGGGTTCTTGGCAACCTCTTAAAGAAGTTACAAAAGGCATCACAATGTCCTTGAAGGATATCTTCAAGATATCTGCAGGTCTTCTTTGTGCTGCCTGGGTAAGAACTTATGACGAAGGGAGTTCAACGCTGTCAATGACGATCTTGCTGAAATTACAGCGTGGTTGAATTCAGCGCCACTAAACCTCAACTCAGCTGTATATGGGTGGAGATAAAAAAATATGTCAATCCATGTCTCAACCATTGTCGTTCTAGATGACAACCTAGTTAGGTAGTTAGTAGGCAGGAGCTATAATATTTTCTGCTCATTGAAAAGAAAAATGAAGAAAAGCTGTAGTTCAGAGACATCTACGTGAACTTAGTAAACTAAGTTATTTATTTTTCATTCCTAACCGAAACATTTTTTATGTTCCTGTACTAGGTCGCTTACTATGTTGTCTGGGTCAGTAGCTCCGTAACGAAGTGCGATAGACATTTTTTAATAAGAAGAACTCACATCATTTTGGCTCACCCTATCAGCCCATAGCTGCATACCACGATGTTATTGAATAATAGTTATTTATTATACGAGGAAAAACAGTATAGTAGATTCTAGCTCCAGGTTGTGTTGTCTCCCAACGCGTAGCGGACAGGTATAAGGACGAATCAATATCGAGAAGATATCACATTATATTAAAATCAGAAAATTATCGACGTGGAATTTGAAGTTTTCAACAGGAATGACACCTGCGTTGCAGGCATCTTTTTTCAGGCATCTTCATCAGTCTGTTGAAGTAATCAAATATCTGTCAGTATAATTCTGTGATTCGATTTTCAAAAATTGCGAATTAAGTGGTTGTTTAGTAATTCTGAATATTCTTACTGAAATATTTCCCATGTATACCACTCTGGAATATATTACTGGAATATTCACATTGGAATATTCTTTGGATGTTCCAGAGGCATGTATATATTCTAGGAATATTCGGAATATACTCCTCTATTCCTCATTCCAGGAATATCCAATTTTGTCTGTGGTTTTCTTTAGGGACACTCTGTTTATATTATTCACGCATTATATTATATCTAACCTCTAGCAAAGAAAAGGGGATGCATGGTCACACCCACTCAAAGTTACCTTGAAAATACTTCCAACCCACACTATCAAAATGATTGAAACACCAAAAACAGAAATTCGATCGTACTTATTGTAATTAGAATTATTCTCTCAGTATACCGCGGGTGTCCCAGTATACCTGTTCCAATGAATTATCTCAGCCATTTCGAAAAATAAAAATCCAAAAATCTCATGATCTCCAATTCGTTCTAGGAAACTTCAACTGAGAAAAACAAAAATTGAAAGTCTATCCCGGTTTGACCAGAAGTGACTCTAAATTTTATTTCAAATAGCACCCTGTATATTTTTTGCAATTTCTGATTTCTACTTAAAATTTACGTTCCAACGATGTATCACACTTCGTATTTTAAATTTGATGATTTGATGGAAAAACCGACAATTGAAATTTCAAATTGAATGAATTGCAGTAGGCTACGATATTTTTGTAATCTTGATTTTGACTTCAATAATAATTTGAAATTATCAGATTTGTGGTAGATCATGTGATTTTCAAATTTTTATTTTTCGAAATGGCTGAGATAATCTATTGGAACAGGTATACTGGGACACCCGGTAGGGATATAAAGAATTCTCAGTATTATGTAGGAGGTATGTCAAATTTTGCTCTAGATACCCTATATGGGTAATTGTGGATGTTTCTGATTGCAAATTGCGAAAGAACACTAGTTTCAACTCTGCCAGCGCTCTCAATAAATACCCAAACCATATTCGTCTCACCAGTTCCACGCCACTGGAATCCGTTGAAATAAGCACTGCAAGGAGCCAGCCAGACGGCATGAGAGCGAAGAAACAAAAGTGAAAGAAGAAGCTACGAATACACATTCGAGAGATTGAGTTCGTTAAAAGAAGAAGATGACTGACGAGTGATTTTAACCATCAAAATATATTGAAAAATTAGAACTTAGCTAACTAGTAGGTTGAAATATCGAAACATGAATTTCCAGAAACTATTATCGAACCGAGGTGAGAGTTTTTTTATTCAGACATTTGATAAATCATTTCATAATCCACGATTACTTTTGCAGTTCCAATAATCCTCCAAAAATGTGGTTTCAAACATTATCCTCCACCACCAAATTTTGATAGTGAGTATTCAGATAAATTTTTGTAAGGAAAGCAGTCCTGCTAATGAAATATGCATCGAAGTAGGTACCTACAGTCATAATATAATGTTTGCTTGCCCAATTTACAGATGTCGAATTTCCTGAGAAGCCAAAATTGAAGTTTATTGATAAATTTCCACAGCTTCCACCCAGTGTTAAAGCTCCAAAGATGCAAAAGAAATTGAGGCTCATGCGTGGTCCAGAAGAGGTCCATAATTTTCTGCTTCATAAGCAATATGGAATAATGGTAGGTACACATTTACAGGACCTGGGACTTATTTTTCTGATTTATTTTGATGATTTTACCTATATGGTTTTGTAGGCTTTGGGAGGTGGTAGACTGAAATGGGGCCATTTTGAGATGATGCGTCTTACTTTGCATAGAAAACTAGACTCTAGTAAAATGTTTGCTGTATGGAGGGTGGATTCGCCCTGGCAACCCATGACAAAACAGGGACAAGGTCAGAGAATGGGTGGTGGTAAAGGTCCCATTGATCATTATGTGACTCCTGTCAAAACAGGTTAGTTTTCATTTAAGTACACAGCTGGAGTTCAATTAATGTTGTTCATTGATTTCACATGTGTCACCAAACATGGGAATTTACCAATCAATCTACTGAAAAAAAGTATTCCAATACACCCAAGATCACACCCTTATTGCACCTTTTCCTATACCTTCCAGTTAATTTTTTTCAGGAAATATAGTGTTATTGATCTATAACCTCCAGTATCAGCCTACCTATTTATCTATCTGTTGTGTAAACAAATAAATTGTAGATGAATCAGAATTGAAATTGAACTAAGAGTCAAGTATAATGCATTGATACTACTGAAATATCCCTCATCTAAACAACATTTTCATGTATCATGCATATTCAACTATTTATTTTCAGTCAGTGGTATGAAAAATGTTTCAATGCAAGAGTTATCTATTGTTCATTCCAGATTCAACATTAACTTGGATTCTTTCAATAGAACATTTTGTTATATTATTCAGGAGATTATTAATTCATTGACAGAGGTTGATTGAGCACTTTTTATCATTGAAAAAAATTCACCATTATCAGATCCAAAAAGACTTGAGTTATTGATGATAAAAATTCAGCATCAGTTTTTTATGTACCAAGGACAAGAAACTGTCTATAAGTAATAGAAAATAGGCCTATATGTCATTTATTGAAGTTTTTGAAAGCTGTCAAAGATGTCTGTTCATTTTGTTTTCATTAGATCACATTTGTTTTTTGTTTGTGCTCATTGGTCAACCATCAAATCAAACCTCCCAAACGTGTTCAAGTTATCGCCGTCAGATGGAGTTACGTGTTATTTTCAATCAAGAATTATAGTCCAGTCTACAAATTGATAGCCCAGGCTAGCAATCAGGCAAGACAATAAACTATTTTTCGCCAAGATGCATATTACATTTTTTCGTCGACCTGTTGAAGAGGTTAGGTTAGGTTAGGGTCCCTTGATGGAAATAAATACCCTGTACATACCTATTATTAAAATTTTGAATGATTTTCTGTAGTGCCCATGGATGTGACGTGACAGCAATGTCAGGGATGCCAGTAGACAAAACTAAAATCTCTAGATCATCAAAAAAGAATGCAGCTATGATCTGTCCATACCCTGTTAAGATGATTTTAACGCCAATTTCCATCAAGGGACCCTAGGTTAGGTTAATTTTGATACCTCATCAAACATTAAGTTTGATTTTTCAAAGTCTAATTATCATCTTTCGGTAATTCAAGGGCACGTGGGCCCTTGTAAAACATGAACCCGACCTTTAAATTATAAATTTATATTAAAATAAATGATATTTGTATGCCTACTTTTTTCATTTCCATAACTATGATATTTTCTATTGGCTGATGATGGGCTTATATGAGCACAACACATGTTCCTTTAAGATTGATCTTTGATCATTCTAATAAATGTTGTGGAGATATAATAATAATAATAACATTTATTTGTAATACATTGCTACAATTCCTAAATTGTTACCCATTTCTAAGTAAATATTGTTATCAATAAATGTAGGCATATCATATTTTAAAGTAACAATTATTCATTGAAGCTTATGAGAGGGTTGATATAAATCGTTTTCATAGTTTCTATCATGGAGTTGCATGAACAGAGAAACAGTATTCATACTGGTATAAGACTGTTATTCATGATGTTGCTTTTATAATTATACAATATTATTTCATTGAATGTAACTTTCAGGATTACAAAAAATATATAAATTCAATTGAACATTATGAAAAAGAAGTGAAAAGAAAGAGAAACAAAGAAATAAACCACTTGAATTCAATTTATTTTCTGGAGAAAATATTTCTTTATTTTTATTTTGAATTCAGTAATATTCCTAGAATTTTTTATGTCTTGTGGTAGTTCATTAAATTTTGAAAGTGCTATGTGCGTAAATCTCTTTTGACCAATTACACAGTTTGCAGAATCAAGATGGAAGAAGTTATGTTGTCTTGTATTATAATTGTGAATTTCTGAATTTCTAGTAAATATGACTTTGGGTTTCATCTATGAATTCAAATCTCTTTGGAATTGGGTGGGTTTGGGGTATGATTATTCCTTGTTTACCCATCAATTCTCTAGAATCATGTTCATTGTGCATTCATAGGTCGAATAATCCTTGAAGTGGGGGGAAGAGCCGAATTCAAAGAAATAGAAAAATTCCTCACGGATATCGCTAATAAACTGCCTTTCAAGGCCATGGCGGTTTCTCAGGAAATCCTGGATGAGATGAAGAGGAAGGAAAAGTGGGAAGAAGAGAATAATCAAAACCCCTATACTTTGAAATACTTGATTCAAAATAATATGGGTGGATGCAATAGGTGGTTGTCACCTACTGATACAAAATATTTCAGCAAATATGTTTGATTCATTTTTATAAAAGCCTTTTGGAATAATCATAAAATGAAAAATGGATATATATACATGTGGTTGTCATTTGAAACTGATGAAGTCAGGATAGTTTCTTCAAAATAGTGAAAATATCTTGATATTATGATCCATCAGTTATAAATAAGAATTTGTCAGCTTTGGTCTGGTGGAATGAGAACAAATTTGAAAACTGCCTAATGATTTCTAAAAATATTGTAATATATGAGACCTTAGAAATAAATACACCACTGTGTACTGTATGTACTATAGATATCTAATGTCTGTAAATAAAACTCTTGATATCTCACAATTCTGACAAGATTTTTATTCCTCATAAGAGACAAGGTTATCTTTTCTTCATTTATATACACTCATTTTGAAAGAAAAGTAAGTATTTTGAGTATGTTTCACAAAGGACATGGCTATCTTCTCTTGATTTGTGTGCAATCATTCTCTTTGGGAGGTAAGTCGACAGGAAACGTTCCTACTTCCATTTGTTCTTCCCATCTTTTTATCCACTCATTGGGGCAAATGACTTTGTAAATTTTGGATAATTGATTACAAGAAGTATTGCTGTAAAAATAACAATCTTTATTAAAGCTTGGAAGAAATTTAAATCATAATACACATGTAACTTTTTCAATCCTTGTTCGATTTTTGTGAAATTTCAATCAAATTGTAGATGATTCATGTTCCGGAATGATTGCCGAAATATCAGTTTTCCTGAAAAGCTGATGACTTGATCATTATACAGGGAAAAACCAAAGTTACTCTTTCACCCTATACTTTTCAACGCCCTGTGGCAAAATTACGTGATGGAAAATGGCTTCATTATGCTTCGGATTGAAGTGTGATCCCTTCTATATACAAAAGTTTTTGATTCACGTCAATACCTTATTTTTAAAAGAAGATACGAGTGTTTTAAGGAAGTATGGCGTTTTTCAACTTTTTTCACCAATAATCAGAACTTACATGAACTTATTGATTAACAACTTCAAGGATTAATATCACATATCACTTACCTATCGGAAAATCAATTACAAAAAAACAAACAAGAAGCAGACCTGTAGTATGCTCTCCTCGATATTGAATTACAGCATTCAACCGAAGTGGCATCGAATTGATCAAATTACTCAAGTAGCCTTGAAGAATTGCCTGAAATCCTCCTTGAAGGGCGAATCTTAGCTCTTGAAGAGTATCTGACAAGGCTGGGCGAAGGCAAATGAGCCTCTAGAGGTCACCCATGAGATAGGTAGATAGGTTCTGAATTATTGTTATTGAAAATTAAAAAAAATCTATACTTTCTTGAAACACTTGTATCTTCTCTTAAAAAGGAGATATTGACGTTATTCAAGAAATCGTATGAGGAAGAAACAAAAGAGGATTACACTTCATTTTAAAACATGATGAAGCAGTGAAGTAGAAGGATGGAGAATGTTTTTGAATTATTGTAATTAAAGAATCTATACTCTCTTGAAACACTTGTATCTTCCTTTTAAAAATGGTTATCGACGTGAATAAAAAACCATAATGTAGAGAAGAGATCACTCTTCAATCTAAAACATAATGAAGTTAAGTTAAACCACTCACCTTTATTCCCACAGGGCGTTAAGAAGTTGAGGGTGAAAAAGTAACTTTCGTTTTTCCCTGTATGATGATCGAGTCATCAGATTTTCTTAGGTACTAATATTTGAGCTAACATTTGGAAACATGCATGGATCTACGATTCGGTCGGAATTTCATCAAAATCGGACCAGAATTGAAAAAGTTACAGAGCAAACAATTTGGCTAAATTATTTGGGGGCCGGTTTTTTTTTTGCCGGTGAGTGTATATTCTTCATGCATTGAACCCAGAGCTGGGCAGTACTCGAGTACAAGTACTCAAATATTGTACTCTGAGTACATTTTGTGTACTCAGTACCTAGTACCCGAGTACATTTTCCATAAAGTACCCGGTACTCGTACCCGTACGTAGCATTTCGGGAAAAGAACCCGGTACCCGAGTTTATCAAACAAGTACATTTTCCGGGTACTTTTTGCAAGAATAAACTTGTCTGTGCATATGCGAGTGCAACACGGGAAACCGCTGTTTTATGTTATATCATCATTATCAGTCAGCACTTCAATCAGAACCAAACGCGGAGTTTTTGTTTTGTACACTGTGTAACAGTTATAGAGTCAAGTGTTTTTTGTATCGTTTCTGTTGTTTTCTTAAGACTAAACCACACTAAACTAAGAGGTAAGGGTATAGTATTTTGCAATAATATTTCTCTTAATATATAAAGATACGTATAGACGTAAACAACGACAAATAAGTAATTTGATTTTTGCTTTAATTTACATATTAGTAATGAATAAGAAATGAATGGTCAATTTTATAATTTGTAAAAGACAATTGTTGAAGTTGTTGATATTATTATTGTTAATAATAACTAATACTGGATGCAAAATTTCTCAATTCTCTATTCAAATGTACTTGAAATGAGTACCCGTGAAATTCGGGTACTTGTACTCGGAGTACGACTTAACTCTGAGTACATCCAATGAGTGGAGTACTCGGTACTCTGTACTCGTTCTTCAATTATAAACAGTACCCGGTACTCGAGTACAATTTATCAGTACCCGGCCCAGCTCTGATTGAACCCTTATATTTTTTTAGATAGGTATTGTTGCAAGACAGTTTTTTATTGTCACACACTTGATATGTAATAATTATTGCATTCTTACCCATCTCCTAACAGTCTTTTGCACTTATGATAATCGACAAAAGTTGCAAAACACCATTTGGTAGCATTACAGTTGTGGTATCTTGCATCTTGGGGTATGGTTTCTATTTTTGGTCCATTAGGATCACCCATTATGAATTTTGAAATTAACTGAGTATAAATGAGAGTTATCAAATTGACAATTTTGGAAACACTTGTCAAAAATTGGTACTAGGAATTAGCCTGTCAAAAATACTGGGTGGTGTTATTTATTGAAATCATTACTTCATTACAAAAGGGTGGCAGATAGAACGAATATTCTCACAATATTCTTACAAGCTGCGGAAATGTCATCTTGCAGAATATTTCTAAACAATATACTTAAAATAGTCTTCGAATGTTGAATATACAGGGTGTTTCAAAAAAACCTAACCCCCTTGCTAGGGTAGGTAGAACATTTCAAAATAAGTTGGGTTTGATCAGTAAAAAAATGTCGTAACTCCATCCGTTTTCAAGATACAAGGTGTTGAGAAAATATTTTTTTTACACATTTTTTTACGATTATGTTGAAATTACTGGCAACATCATTGTAATGAAATTTCGTATGGATGTGTTCTGAAAGCTGATACATCGCATGAATTTGTTTTTATATCTTACACTCATAGAGGGCGCCGCAGTTACACGGTTCGTACCGAGTACTTCTATGTAAACATAACTTTTTTGATGTTAGATTATTCCTTCAAATTCAATGTGAACTTGAACATATCATTCAATTCTACACTAAAAAGGTGCTCTTGGTAAAACTTGATACTGTGTACTTACCGTTTTCGGGATATTTTCTAATTGAAAATGCTGAAAGTATATAACACCTATGCTAGTTGAATGTATAAGTATTATAAAAGACTGTTAGTACCTATTTATTGATAACCACGTCAAGAGCTGCAAGAAAGAATTGAGCATCACTTCGATGATCTCATAGCTGATCCTCAACTGTTGAGAAGCTTGATGCATTCTTTAGAAAAAAGGATCGAATCAAAACGGAGGACATTTTGGACACTTATTACTATAACTAGATGATGTTTTTAGTTAAATTTAATTAAATATTTTCTGATGTGATTTTGATTAATCGATAACTTCAGCAGTAAAATAATGTTAATGTTTTTTGTCCTTAATAAATAGATAATTGTTTTTTTATAAATTCTAATACCAGAATCACAGGTATTGCTTCAGCATTTTCAAATCGAAATATTTCGAAAACGGTACACAGTATCGAGTTTTACCAAGAGCATCATTTCGGTGTAAAATTGAATGGTGTTCAAGTTCACTTTGAATTTGGACTGAAAAATCTAACCTCAAAAAAGTTATGTTCAAAAGTACTCGGTACGAACCGTGTAACCAGCGCCCTCTATGAGTGAAAGATATAAAAACAAACTCATGCGGTGCGTCAGCATTCAGAACACATCCATACAACATTTCATCACAATGTTGACAGTAGTTTCGACATAATCGCGTACAAAATGTGTAAAAAAATATTTTTTCAACACCTTGTAAGTATCTTGGAAACGGATGCCGTTACAGCATTTTTTCACCGAGCAAACCCAACTTATTTTGCAATGTTCTACCTACCCAAGCAAGGGGGTTAGGTTTTTTTGAAACACCCTGTATATTTATGGAATGTTCCATTCGAAAATTCTAATAATATTGTTAAATGGTATTTGCCACTCAAACACACTTCTTCTAACAATTCTTTATCACATCCAACTTTAATCAATCACCCAGCAATCCTGACTACTTTATTAAACCTATACCCTGTCACCGAGTCATCGTTATATCATACATTCCAATGAATCACTATCCTAACGTATCTATCCGTTACCACCGATACAACATCATATAATTGAATATTACAAGTCCTTAAGGGGGATAATCTAATAAGAGGGTTACAATATTATGGAAGTACATTCCTAGCCTAAGATATAATATTCCAGAATATGTTCATGAAATGATATTTTCAGAATATTGTGAACATTATTCATGGAAAGAATGGAACCTCAATAAGATGTAATCGTAGAAAATAGTTATTTGTTTAACTAGGCAGCAAAGTAGTAGATTGACTGCCGAGTTGAACATATAAATTTTTCTCCGATTGTTCATAATGATATAGGAGGATATTGTAATTGCAAATTATTACAATGCCCACAATCTCTTTATTTTTCCTGTAGTGTTCAATTAAAATGAAATTTGATAGAAATCGCAGTTGTCCATGATAATTATAGTTTGACAATTCATGAAAATGCTGACATTTGTGCGGAAAAATATCGGTATATTTAAATTATTATATAATGGACAGTGATAGCGACCTGGAAGTACTTACACCTCCAGAAATAAGGGAGGTGGCAAAAAATATAGAGTTGAATTTGTTGCTGGAGAAGTCTCGAATGAAATATGAAGGAAATTATAAACGATTTATGGATTATTGATTTTGCTGATACATATCAATCAGCAAAGTAACCACTTTGCTGCCTAGGCAGGAAAAGTGATACTTTGCTGATTGATATGTGTCAGCAAAATTGATATTTGCTGCCCATCGGAGAAAAACTATATTTTTCCTAGTTGAATATAACCCAGAGATATGAAATTCCAGAAATATTGTGTATTGCTCCGCCCTATATAGAGTGCTCTGTGCAGTATATTTTTTTTTTCGACAAAACTAAGTGTTTCAACTGGATTAGTATTCATTTATATTTCCATATATTTCTATAGTAGACATAATTTCAATGCATAGGTACAAAGGATATACTCTGCATTTACATTGTTCCTGAGGATGAAAGGAATGTCATCCATTGTGAAACTAAACCCCTTCCTGGGAAAAAAGTGTATACCTACTACATAATATATAACTGTATAAACATCTCCTATTGTCGCGACTATATATATAGTTGCAGTTTAAATTGTGAGTTACCTCTGAATATTACAAGCGAACACTGAAACTATTTCGAACAAGTTTTGTTGTACCTACTGGGACATCAGTTATCATTTATACATGGGGTTGCTCTTTCTCCTCTTCTTAGATTCCCATGAGAGCGTAAAGTTTCCCTTTTTGTGGAATCCGACCTCATTCTGCCAGTCTCGTTAGGATTTCGTATGAATTATTGCACTGTATTCCGTCCATGATGTGCATTCAAGTTCCAAAATACCAAGAAAACACCCGAATAATAAAACAGGAACATCTTGGAAGATTTCACAAGTGAATTCGAAATGAGTAGGTTGATCACTATAAAAAGATTATTTGACAGGACCTATAGTTTTAACAATAAAATGCTGAAAAAACAACTTTATAATTTTCAGGATATTGTTTGTTTGAAAACATGATAATCATGATATAATAGTTATATTATAATTACTAAGTAAAAGTAAATATTCCTGATTCAATGTATATTATTTGTTTGCTTCAAATATACATCGATTAGTGCGAATATACTACTACACTGAAAGAATCTTCTATTAGAAGTTGGAAAAGTTGCATAATCACAACAAAATATCTGCATCAAATAGGCGCCAAAGCAAATCATTTGCTCAACTTGACAGAATGATTTTGCTAGAAGAACTTCTATCAGATCCAAACAGAATATTGCATTTTTCAAAACCTGCCTGGCACAAATCGAAATTTGGATGTCAGTAATAGGTCATACTGATTCGGTGTATTATTCTAGATAGATCACTTAATTGTCATACTGCTTTAGTAAGGTACTCGTGTGTGTGGTTTGTCGGTCTGTACTTGAAGAAAACCTGTATTTGAATCAGATGAAGTTTCACCTATTTATTGAAGAATCCATATAGGTAGGAGACCGAATTAAAATAGTATATTATGTAACAAGTGTTATAAACGTCCTTTTAGTAACGAGTATTTTAAGCACGAGCGGAGCGAGTGTTTAATAAACGAGTGTCTAGAAGAGTTTATAAACGCGTTACATACTATGCTTTTTCTACGAACTCCGAAAATTACATTAACATACTTGCTATTCCTGCTAACCTACAAAATAATTCGAAAGGAATGGGAATGGAGAACATAATACATGCAACTGCATGCAACCAGCGAGACACGAATAAGTGATATTGGTTGTAGATGTGTCCAGTCCATTGCTTAATAACCTCTGTTTCACGTTTATCATGCTTAGCGCAGAATGAATGATTTGTTCTCAAAGATGGATGCTTCATTTTTACACTTCTTGGAGATATGCAAGTACCAGAACATTCTCTTCGATTTCACTTTCGTCTACATTTCGCATATATTTTTAATGAATAATTCTGATACAAACGACTATTGTTTGAATAATTCTGATACGAAATTTGCAAATAACAGTTGACAGTTCATACAATTGACAGGCCAGTTATGTCTAAAATTACTGAAGCTGTATTTAATGAACTGTGTTGCCATGGTAATGTGTTTAAGAAATCGTGTTGCCATGGTAACGTGTTTAATATTTCGAATAAATCACAGATCGTCAATTCGTGATTAATCGATCATTTAGCGTTGTGCATATCCGTACGGTAAATGCCATTTTAGTTATGTGAGTAGAAAAACTATATTATCTTGATTCTTTGGGATTTTCTCTCCTCGTTCCTCTAAAATAAAAGTATTCGTATTATTTCGATATATTTGTAGACGGACAAATCAGATGATTTGCCCCAAAATGTCACTGCGTTTAAGAAATTTTTCTATCAGGGAGTCTAAAAGAAAAATCCAGTAGCTTGTCAGTGACAATTTGTTTGAAAAAATGTTTGAAGGAAAGAAATATAGATATATTGAAAGAATATCGAATTTTTACTTATCGGGACCGATTCTGCTCCCATTCTCAACATGTAAATGCAAATTATGTTTCTTTTAAAGTTGTTGTTGCTTATAGTTTGACACTTTTCAGTGTCATACTAATGTTGGCATATGAATGAGTTCTACAAATGAGTTACAGGATGTTTTCATTAATTGATCTTGAATTATCGTGCTTGAATCTACCATTTTCATGTTGAGTTTTCAGTAGTGAATACCATGTTCTATCTTTATCAACTGAACAGGAAGCAATGCTATTGTCTTCGTTTAGAAGAATGCAAGCGGATTCCTTGATTTTTCTTTTTTATTGGTTGTTATCTTCCTTTCCAATGATTTTGAAATTATTCCACTCTGCCATATGTTGTCCATCTTCAGTAAGGATATGTTCAGTTAGCTT